GAAAAAATTAGGGATCCTTACTAAAACTCTGATAATGTAACCCGAGGTGTAAAAAAATTACCTAAAATATTCTTTACATCGCGTGCTCTGCGAAAACTATTGATGATAGAATAAAATAATATACTACGACTTTGTAGAACACATTATTATTTAAAGTGTCGCGACAGCATATGTCTAACTATTATAGTTGTGCTGCAATAAGTGTTCTTTCATTTAAAAAATAAAACAACGTAAAATATCATTGATATCTTTGTTGACCCGAGCGGAGGCGGAGCGGGCCGCTAGTATGATATAATTGAGACTTATGTATCTTATTGTAATTACGAATTCCACGGGCAATAAATGACGATTGAGACAAAACCATTTGTTATCTAGATAAACACTTAGAACGGAAACTAAATATTGATAGGTAATAATATTGAACAAATAATTAACAGTCTGTCTCCGTTCGTGGTATAATGCCCGCATAATAATGTTATGCGGGTAGGCCTCTTTGTACAATAGGCAACCCTTTGTTAAGAGCGTTTGGAATATGTAATTTCAATTGGATAACTAAACATTTATTTTTTCTACTGACGTTTTACCCTCCCGTAACCACTCCCGTAACCACTTCACACCAGGTGGGCTGTGAACTCGTATGCAATAAAAATAAAACAACATAAACGCTAAATAAAACCACAGTAATTTCAAAGTTTCTGTCGCTCCATGAATCGACAATCTTTATTTTTAAAACTTACCAGTACGTTTTTCGTTTGGGACCATTGTAAATAATAAAATTCAACAATATATTATAGAAACAGAATTTGAAGTTAACACGCAAGTTAATCTTTAGACGTATCCTGAATAATCTATATATATATAAATGAATTGCTGTTCGTTAGTCTCGCTAAAACTCGAGAACGGCTGGACCGATTTGGCTAATTTTAGTTTTGAATTACTCGTGGAAGTCCAGGGAAGGTTTAAACGGTAGATAAATATGAAAATTTTCAGAATTAAACAGAAATGAGTCGTCTAATATCAAAGGTGGCAATCTGTGCATTTGGACAAAAAAATGTTATTGATATGTTAATACAGATTGATTTGAATATAATCGTCTCCTTCAAAAAATACGGTTCAAAACCTGCATTAAATAAAGGTTAATACTTAATCTGTTATTTATCTAAGATGTCGTTCAGAAGAGTTTTGTGACTGCCAATGGAATACAAAGTCAATAATTCGTTTTTCTGATTTACCAATAATTGTCCAAAAGTCACATTGCCGGCTTTGATAATAGTCGACTCAAATAACAATTTGTTTTAAGTTTATTTTATACAAAAGTTTAGGTCTTTTATCGATTGAGGCATTACGAAGTCTGCCGGGTCAGATAGTAAGTAATAAAAAACACTTACATTACAGTTAACGTTTGCCAAGCGTTAGTCATGTTTTGAACATCCAAACCTTCAATGTGAACCCGCCTTTACGTCTACACTTCTGAATGTATTAAAGAATTATTCATAACTATACAGAATATAGTGTATGTATGAATAATGTATGGGCGTTTGTTGATTGATATTCTGACTTCGAAGAACGGACGCGCACTCGAGCCGTTTCGTTTCATATTTATCGTGATTTCGTGGTAAAAAAAAGTTTGAAGCTTTGTCTGCATGTGGCGGTCCGTTAGGTCTTTGATTTCGGATGTGATGTTCTTTATATAGCCCACTATAGCGTTCTATAGCGGGCAAACAAAAAGGCTTTGTTGAGTGATATTTTTTTTAACTGTTGTACGAAGGAAGACGAAGTTCACCGTCGCCAGTAGAGACAACAGAATTATTACCGCTACCCAAATTAAGGTCTTAATTACATCGGCATAATGCTCCACGACCACACCTCGCAGCTATGTTAGATGCTTCTTTATGCGGGTATTCATACTATGCCTTTATATTATTATTATTATTATTTGCGAGCCGTGTATCGAATTTCTTTCGAGCTTATTTATATATGGGACTAGGTGAGCGAAGATGTTAAAGATCTATTCTCTAAACGACTCCCCACACAACGTCTTGTGACACAAAAAGGCTTGTTCCAAATTAGAGCAACTACGGAGGTCTAATAACTTGGTAAATCACGATCGGCTTGATAAAGATAAGGAGAAGGTTTTCAAAAATCTCTCGAACGCTCTAGGGCCCCTTATCAGTAAGCGAAGTGTAAATAGGTTCTTTGACAGACTGAAGCGTTGTTTGACAACGTGTTCGGGCCAGGTAAAGAACCGTACAAGGTTTATTGATCAAGACTATATAGTAGACTGTTTGTTTCTAATGTTTCTGAAGAGTTTACGAATTGTTTTAAAACTTTCGCGTCTATCGTCTATTCAATGTTATTCTAATAGTTTTCATATTTAATGCATTCCCGATATTTCGGCCTATTATTATAATTTTTTTTTATTGCTTAGATGGGTGGATGAGCTCACAGACCACCTGGTATTAAGTGGTTACTAGAGCCCATAGACTTCTACAACGTAAATGCGCCACCGACCTTGAGATATAAGTTCTAAGGTCTCAGTATACTTACAACGGCTACCCTACCTTTCAAACCGAAACGCATTACTGCTTCACTTCAGAAATAATATTAATAGCGCCATAATGATGAGTATACTAAATACATATATGATATAAAGCAGAATCCGTGGAGCTCATGCTAAAGTATACACCAAAGGTGATGGGTATCATAAATGCCTTGAGCTCTTCGTAACAAACACAAACAACACGCAGCCGGTAGCTGGTCTGACTGTTGATGGCATTCACCATTTAAATATCTCCGTATCACTATTTTAATAGCGCGATATAATCGAATGAAAATAATAAATACGAGATTAAGCTGTTTTGATTGTCTCAACGATTGGCGAAAACCGAAGAAATTTATTTCACAGTACGATATGTCAAAGCTAAGTGTAGATTTGCCTCAGTGTGTGTGTAGATCTGTCGTGGCGCCTTCTAAGCAGCCTAACGCACTTTCTAATGTCAACAGCTCATCTTGTATCTGTCAAAACCGTGACTTATGAACGTAAGTGCACGCGCGATATTCGAAACACCGTGTAATAAGTAATGTCACAGCGCGGAGAGTTTGTGAAAGTGTTACTTGAATGACGTTTATCGCTCGATCTTGGTATCAGCGTATGAAATCCTTTGGTCAAGGTTTTATGTAGACTAGTGGTCCCGCAGTAGTCGAAATTCGAGTATAATTAATTGAAATTATAAGTTTGAAGTTATGGTTATCATCACCTTCAGATATAAGTTCTAAGATCTCAGTATAGCTACAACGGCTGCCCTACCCTTCAGACCGAAACGCATTACTGCTTCACGGCAAAAATATGCAGGGCGGTGGTACCTACCCGCGCGGACTCACAAGAGGTCCTACCACCAGTAATAATAAAATAGTACTTGACTGGTTTTGAATTTTCTTATACATACATATATAACTCAGATCTCTACACATCGTCCCTCGCTCAAGAAATTCACCATGTTTTATGTCCATAACGCATAAATTCGTCATGTTAAAGTATTGTTTCCAATTCAAGATTGCCATATACAAATCGACACACTCGATTGGCCTTTGGATATCCGTATAACATCGGGGTTAGAACTAGTTGACCTTTACAATATCTGATCTAGCGTACTGTGTAAAGACGGAGTTATAAAGGAGTATGTACTGAGAAGTTTTGCGTATGACGCGAATGCATAATTTAGTAATGAAAATGCTGAGACCGCAGAATAAGATACAGCTCGATACACTATTTGTTTTACTGCACACACATAGTGCATAGTGCATTTAGCAATATTTACTATGCGCTTTGCATGTGTCCGTATTTTCAGTTTGTATACATAATTGTATTTATGGCTTTGGCTTAATTATGATGTGCAATATATGGGTGCTTTTACATTCATATACTTTCTATAGTGATATTTCTCATACGGTACTCTCTTGGAAAATATTTTAGTGGATAGATTTCCTACATTTCCGTATTCAATGTAACTAAGTTTTGTAACTGAACATACATATATAAATGTAAATTCAGAATACGCGTAAGGTAAGATAAGGCTAGTCAGACTCTACGATCACTTCCCATAAAAAGCTATTCATCCGAAAAAGTCCAAAACTTTTCAGATTTGTGGGATGAATGGAACTTTGGACACACGATTGTGAGATTTATGAATGAATTTGTGATTATATAATAAACGAAAACTTTAAGATGGATGTTAAGCCTAAAGACGCAATAAACGCCATTGCGTTATCATCAACCAAGGAAGCGCCGTAATGGTCGTAGAACAAAAGCTGACATTAACAGAGCTGTCAAACTCCTAATGCATTAATTAACCATTCATTTAAGAGGAAAATTCGGTAACGACTGAAAAACTACGTGAAAATACTCGTTGAACTCTCTAATATGTTAACCTCTTTAGGGAGATTGGTAGATACATATGTGTAGGTTTTTTATTAAAATTATTTATATATTTACATATTATACAAATGGCTAGACATGTGGATATATTTATTTTTAATGAATATTCACTGTGTTTGTTTATTTCTGCTTTTATTTACTGAATTGTTTTTAAAAAAAAAAGTGTAATAGAAATAGTTCGCCACTGAAGCGGTTAAGCTTATCCCAACGCCATACCTATTTTTCACGAGTGTAGCTTGTTATGAATATCGTTTTCTATTTAAAAAATATTGTGGGGTACATCGAAATAATAAGTCCCAATCTTAGTACCTAATTTTAAATATATTTTAAGGTAATTTCACTGATGTTTCCGATAGACTTAAAGGTCAATCACTTAATTTTGGAAAAATCTTGGACAAGTCTTGGACAAATACATACATGTGATGTACGGACGTCTGATTTACTCAAGGGAAAGGGATTTCTGTGTAAATAAAAATGGTACTCATGTGTGTGTCTGTGTGTGTTTTTTTTGATAATTTTCCTTATGCGTATAAGACATGTATAGAAATGTTCATTTTGTTATCAGGGCCGTCAAGATGCTGCAGAGGATCTTGCGCGACATGTGGGTGGATCCCGAGATCCTGGCCGAGCTCGACGAGACCCAGAAACAAACGCTCTTCTGTAAAATGCGCGAGGAACAGGTACGTGAAGACTTACAACTTAATGACACCTTGTGAGCGGAGATCGAATTCGCGATTCCTTTGGATTGAACCTTGTTTATGCCATTTAAAGTTGAGCGCATTCGCTTATTGACAGGATCGCAATTAGGCCGTGCAATTGAAACAGTGTCTGTTTGGTTGTATAAAGTGATAAACACATACCAAATAAGTAGGTAGTCTCACGGCCATCACCGTACTACCTATATACCTATTGTTACGCTGGTAAGAGTAACGCCATCTATCACCGAATAGTCGAACGAATACCGAAGGATCTAGTAACGTCTAGAACGCACGAGAATTGCAACGCCATCTATTGTCAGATAGCGGAAACACACAATACTAGACTTTTGTGGAATATTCTCGACGATTCTAGGGATTTCGTCTCGACTATAAAAGCGTTGCAAAGATGGTACGCAGTTAGTAATCGGAACTATTCGAAGCGAAACAGCGAACGGATCACCTGAAGCGAAGCGGAAGAAGCGAATTGAAAGTTTTAAAGTGTTTTTGAAGTACAGTATTAACTTGTACTCCGGTAGAGTTTTTATTTATCCCAAACCCCAGCGCGTAACAATAATATGAAACAGACAAAATGGGTTTTCTCCATTCTCGTACTTGAGATTAGGGCGCACATCCATATCGCTGGGTCAAAAAACAGATTCCTTATCCACAACTCAATATAAACATGCAATTGAATCAATCAATGTTTTTACTGTTGCACGGAACTACTCCATTCACCCGTGACCACAACAAAACGTTCAACAGCTTATTTAAAGGATTTCATGGTGAATGTTTCGGTCGTTCCAAAATAGATCGATTTGCATCTCAACTATTGTTCGTGTTGACCTTCTGTATTCCATTCCGGTCAGATCTCTCCGCTGTTCCGCTATTAAATTTTTCCAAAAAGACATTCAGTTTATCTGAGCGTTTCGCTATTTGATGTAATGTGTTAGTGGATTTATCTACAGGATGGCGTGAATGAGCCATTTTTTTGTAGACCTAAACTTAACAAGTTTACTGGAAGCAAGTTTGGAAGTTATTTATTTATATATTTATATTAAGTATCACTTCACAATTTTTGACAATTGCTTCATACTCGTTTATGTAACAGAATTTATATGTACTATAGAATATAGAACATACAAGTGGTTTTTAAACATATATCACATAACATCAATTTTATATATATAGCAGATGTACAAAGCGACAGATAGATTTTTTTTATGATTGAAGGATTACTGGTGGCCCGGAGGCCTTTCCAGTTTCACCAGGACAGGTGAGCGAGCAAATGCTCAGCCAGAAGGGGTGGGATTTGCTAACAGTTGCCCGAGCGCCTCCGAAGGAGACCTAACAGCTTAAAAGCAGCTGCTTCGCGAATGAATCTACTACCGGATCGGAATCGCGACCCGCTAAGAAGATCCGACGAGAAACTCAGGGAGCTGATTCATGGGTTAGGTTGCACGTCGAACTCTTTGTCGAGTTCGACGAGTACGGTTACCGGGGTCCCTGAGCCTGCTCCTAGTGTTAGAGCTGAAGGCGTCTAATGCAAAGGTTATTGTATCTGATGGATCCGTAAGGACGTGTCTAGGGCGTCAACTGTGACTGGCTCCTGCGTGATCAGGATTCGGGGACTAGTCAGCGGCGGCAACGTTAAGGCGATTATCATGACGCATAGCCTTATCGAAGTACCGTTCCGACGCTGACTTCATGTATTTCTGGATTGATTCGAGGCCCAGGTCGTCGTGTAGGTCAACGTTCCTCACGAACCACAGAGCTCCGACGGCTAACCTGCAAAAGCGGGAGTGTAGAGATTGGAGGGTGTCTATGTGTGTGCGGGCCGCGTGAGCGAAAACCACACTCGCGTAAGTCATGACCGGCCTGGCAGATAGAACTGAATAGTGACACGGCGATTCGTTTTAATGGAACAGGTCAACGCGTTTCAATTGAAATTAACAAATGCGTCAGAAATTACTGGAATTCAAATTCGTTCCATAGAAACTAGAGCGGTGTGCTTTATGTTACGCAATGAATTAATTAGACCCATAGTATGGGTTTAAATTAATAAAAAATGAAGGCAAATTAAGCAGAAGATTTCCGGAAGATTTTTATTGTATACTAAACATTATTTCGTGTTTAATTTCTGTTATCATATGACATTGTAAAACAGAGCTGATAAACTGTTTCAACCGTATCGTATTTGTTCTGATTAATTGATATATTATATTTGATCTCATCTCAAGTGGTCATGGTCATTTTACCATGGAGTACGAATTCGATTCTCGGTCCAAAGTATATACGCTAGATATGTGTCGTTCGCGAACGAACGAATCAAACGACCCGGGTCTCAAAATCCGCCCGAACGATAGGGTCACTTCAAAAAATATGAGTCGTTCACTAAATCGACTCGTTTAACAAAACCTACGAATCAGAAGAAAATAACCATACGACAGTCATTCGGGTCATTTCGGGTGGCCGGGTCTCGACCCGCGCCCGTCTCGGTTAGTCGTTCGTTGTCGCATAATGACGCATAACGCATTTGAATTGTTTTGATCTCACGTAAACAATCGAACTATAACAGTTCCTTTAAAATGTTATTCAATACTTAACTTTATCCAGCCAGTGACCAATTTTGATCAATTTTGATGAGATAAACGGTAATCCAAACGTTTGACTGAACGGGTCGTACGAACCGGATCATTTTGTCAACAGGTCAGTATTGATCTGAATCTCTAAAATTGAACGAACGACACATATCTAATGTACGCATGTTTGTGATATGATTCTTCATTCGTGTTTGGCTGTAGTTTTTATTTTATTTTATTTTTTATTGCTTAAATGGGTGGACGAGCTCACAGCCCACCTGGTGTTAAGTGGTTACTGGAGCCCATAGACATCTACAACGTAAATGCGCCACCCACCTTGAATGGTGTTCTTTTCACAAATGCACATACATACATTGGTTTCTTTATTTGAATTTCGGGCGTTTATTTATTTGACCACATCTGAGCATCTGATTTGCTTAGTATATTTTTTGTGGTTTTACGGTTTATAGACGCAATTAAACTATTACCAATTAATCTCTATGGTTTTCAAAGCGCGCGCTTGGAATACTTTACGGTTATGGCAGTCACCGACAACCAAGGTTTCTGCCAACTGCCAACGTCTGATTTTAAAATGAAAACAATTAACGCGAGATTAAATCATAAGGTCGAGAACCCCGACGGTTGATTTACCGCATCACTATTGAAAATATTGTTTTGAGAGAATCGTTTGGTTAGCAACTCGGGTTAACATCACGAGTGCAAACGTTACTTATAAACCATGCCATTAACTTTCAATTCTTGTAACCGTACTCGTCGAACTCGGCAAAGAGTTCGACGTGCAACCTAACCTAAGCATCCGCCCGCTGAGTTTCTCGCCGGATCTTCTCAGCGGGTCGCGATTCCGATCCGGTAGTAGATTCATTCGCGAAGCAGCTACTCTTGAGTTGTTAGGTCTCCCTTGGAGGCGCTCGGGTAGCTGTTAGCAAATCCCGCCCCTTCTGGCTAAGCCCTTGCTCGCCCACCTGTCCTTGTGAAACTGGAAAGACCTCCAAAATAATCCAAAATAATAAATAAATAATCTTTCAATTCTGGTACGAGGTCATTTATTTTTTTCTTCACATTTCAATAATACTTTCAACATGATCGAGTGAACGTTTATTTAATATCTCACTACGCACGATGACCGGTAGCGTTTACTCTGTGTTAATAATTGATTTGTTGAGGTTCTATGCGTCCAAAGGACTTTTCAAAATGATTAGGTTACATACGTAATTGTTTTTATTTCGTTCGAATTGTTTTCGTTTCGATTGACGAATTAACGGTCTGTGGAGTTTAAGAACGCACCTTTATATGATGCGTAAGCCGAAACGCACGAGAGGTGGAAAAAAGAAGATATTCATGTGACACGGGACCTTTTTACCGCCGAAAATACTTAAGACGAAAAAAAAAAAGTGTATAACTTAGAACTGTGTAAGCCGCTGCAACAATAAAACTCCTATTGTTTTAACTGTGGTGTTAATTACGAGTGATCCAAAAACACAATTTTCCCGCGAAATAAAGAAGGGACTATAAACAGACTCCCTCAGGTCCATCTGAAATTATATACGATAGTAGTTGCGATGTGATTATTGATGTGCGGTTTTAGTATAGAAAAACATCAGCCCACCATTTCCCGTGGGGGTTGTAAACCATACCGACAGATTCACCGGAAAACAGGACGCCTCTGATTAGTATACCAACTTCATCCAATAGCATTTACTGTTGGCTTTCTCGTCGAACCCCTCGGTTGCAACAAAGTGCTCGGCTAGTAAACTAACCCATAGATACAGCCCACTGAGTTTCTCGCCGGATCTTCTCAGTGGGTCGCGTTTCCCATTTAGTGGTAGATTCTGGGAAGGACTGCTTTTGCTAGGGCTAGTGTTTGCAACGCCTCCAAGTTTGAGCTCCGAAAGCTTACCTACACATTAGGGTTACGTTGACATAACTTCTCTAGGCTACCAGCTTAGATAGGTAGTTTAAAAAAAACTGTTGGCATGACGGATTATAAGCCTGCACGGTTAGGTGCCACAATCTTACCTATTTCTGGTGCAAAGCTATCTGAAGGCGGTACAGTCGTTATATAATTGAGGCATAGACCTGATGTCCCAAGGTGGACAGACGCATTAGCTTTGTTGTCTACAACTACACCAGACACCGTACACCCAAAATAACATGTGTAAAGTGTTGTGTTTTTTTTTGCGTGCGGGTGGGTACTCGCTAATTTCTGCCAAAATCGATGCTTTCCGACAAGTCTAAGACAGGAGACGACACAGCATCGTGAAGATGAAACTAGTGGAGCTGGTCACGACCCTCGGACATGCGAAGCACGACCGAAGGAGAAGGATGCAAATTAATTACCCTTATATTTCAGGTACGAAGATGGCAGGCCTGGGACGATAAAATCAGCAAGGACGACATCCAGCCTAAGTTCCAGAAGAACGGGAAGAAGCAGGTCCAGTTCCTTAAAGGAGAAGACGGCGAACCATGGGTATGGAAATCTTAAGTTTTACCGATTTATAATTTTCAGGCCGACCCAAAGTTAAGAGTGATACTTTTTTTTTTTTTTTTATAATATATTGCGCGTTCCCCTGACGAGTAATTGTCAGGGACATTTTTTAGGCTATTTTGCTATTTTTCCAATTATCTTTTTTTTTACTATTTGTAATGTTGGATTCATGTTTCGTTTTCCATAATTATTTAATATTCGTTTCTGTTCCCTTCTTATACTTATACTTTAATTCCCTTATATTTTACCTATATACCTATTAAAGAGTGATACTATGCAAGATATAGTTATCAGACTCAAAGCTAAGAGCGATGTTATGCAAGATAATATAACTTAGCTAAATTATATTAACTGGGTTAGAAAGCAGCTAATATCTTAAGGCTGGTTTTTAATTTTATGTTTCATTAAAGTACAATTTTAAGTTACTCAATAATGAAATGTGTCTCTTTCATGTCTTATTTGTTTTTATTAATATATTTAATGAATATAGACGTGTTAAAAGCACTCTAAAATAAAATTGAATCTTTATTATTTATTTTATTTTATTGCATAGATGGGTGGACGAGCTCACAGCCCACCTGGTGTCAAGTGGTTACCAGAGCCCATAGACATCTACGACGTAAATGCCGCCACCCACCTCGAGATACGAACTCTAAGGTCTCAGTATAGTTACAACGACTGCCCCACCCCTTAAACCGAAACGCATTACTGCTTCACGGCAGGGTGGTGGTACCTCACTGTGCACAATAGGTCCTACGACCAGTAATCTAAAGCGAGGCTATAATTTGTTAAACGATCTGCTTCAGGTTTGGGTTATGGGTGAACATCCAGACGACAAGTCAATAGAGAGCATCCTGGCGGAGGAAGCGAGGCAGCGCGCCCTCGCGCAGGCTCGTGAGGAGGCGCACCAGCTCAGGAAGTCCGTCGAGAAGGAACTCACACAGCTTATCGACTACAAACCTCTAGACAGCTTGGAACAGGTCAGCATAATATCAGAAATGCGTTTATCATAAGCAAAGTTAACGTGATCAGTCACGACCGCTTACTGGTGGTAGGACGTCTTGTGAGTCCGCACGGGTAGGTACCACCACCCTGCCCATTTCTGCCGTGAAGCAGTAATGCGTTTCGGTTTGAAGGGCGGGGCAGCCGTTGTAACTATACTGAGACCTTAGAACTCATATCTCAAGGTGGGTAGCGCATTTACGTTGTAGATGTCTATGGGCTCCATTAACCACTTAACATCATGTGGGCTGTGAGGTCGTCCATCTAACTAAGCAATAAATAAAAATTACTCACTGACTTCGTGCCATCTCTGCAACGCTTTTATAGTCGATACGACATCCCTAGATTTATCGAGAACATTCTGGGCAAGTCGAGTAGCTTTGATATGTGTTTCCGCTAACTCATATGTCAAGGTGGCGGCATTTACGTTGTAGATGGGCTCCGATAACCACTTAACATCAAGTGAGCTCATCCACCCACCTATGCAATAAAATAATAATAATAATACACGCATGTCACTCTCTTACGCTACGTACAACTCGTGGCGACGTGTGGTGCAGGTAGATCGCGTTTTAGAAAGAGACAGACGACATACTTCGGCTTTGTATAAGTACTTTTCATTTAAATACGAACATGTGAAGTTTCATCGTTTCCTTTCAAAGGGAAGATCTTTTACCGAGAGCGGTCCAAAATACTCTGTAGACCGACGGTCCGAATGCTGTTGCTTGGAACTTGTATATATATTATAACTAGCTGACCCGGCAAACATTGTTTTGCCTTAAATAAGATTTGTAGGGAATTTCTAGTGTAGAAAAAAAAAAACTAACTTATTGTAAGTGTGTAAGGATGTGGTAAATTAGTGAAAGAGGTATGTAGTGCTGTGAACGATGAGGGAATATATAATAAAAATAACAAAACCTCATTCAACCACATAATACCTCATTATAACAAAAAAAAAAGTCCAAATAAAAAAAAATATGTTAGGGGTGGACAACCCTAATCACTTAGGGGTATGAAAAATAGATAGTAGCCGACTCAGGCTTACTGAATATGCATAAAAAATTTCATGAGAATCGGTCAAGCGGTTTCGGAGGAGTATGGGAACGAACATTGTGACACGAGAATTTTATATATTAGATATATAGGTTTATCATGAAAATGATATTGGCACGAGTCAGGCAATTGTCTAATAATGCCTTGTGTTAGCTAGCTATCTTTCCACCGGTATATACTTCGATGTACTTTTATCAATCTTCATTGATATCGGTCAGTTGTAACTTCAGAATAAGTTGTTTTATTTGCAGAAATTCGACCTTTCACCAAAAAGCATAGACCCGCTGGACGATCTGGAGATCTACTGCACAGTCGACGAGCTCCGGCAGCGCATCGAGGCGCTGGAGCCCGAGGTGAAGATCTCGGAGAAGGAGGACCTAAGAAACGAGGACAACATGAAACTGGACCTCAACAAGAACACTTTGCATTTCAATTTTATCGAAGGGAAAAGGGATGTTTTGCAGGTTAGCTAATACATTAGGACGTCATTTCGGATCCTCCTGATCCACTAACGGTGCTTCTAGGTACTTCAGGCACCGGTCATCGTTCTCGTCGAACCCATCACTTGCGACGCAGGGCTTGACGAGTAAATTACTCCTCAGACACAGCCCACTGAGTTTCTCGCCGGATCTTCTCAGTGGGTCGCGTTTCTGATCCGGTGGTAGATTCTGCGAAGCACGGCTCTTGATAGGGTTCGCGTTAGCAACGTCATCAGGTTTGAGCCCCTTGAGCTCACCTACTAGTTAAGGTGATGCTGATATAGCCTCTCAAGGCTATCAGCTTAGGTAGGAAAAAAATTGGTGCATTGTTTCTTTCTTTTTTTTCGCTAAATTATACCTTAGGGTTAACTTTTCGGCGCGCACTGCTGTACCGTAGGTCTGGTGTAGCCGGTGTGGTGGAGCTCGATGGGGTTTAGTCGGTAGTTGGTTTTGCGGGGCGAGTGCCTCGCGCGCCTTTTTCAAGGCGTGGTCTCCTGCGAGGACTACGGGGAGGTGGAGAACCTTGGCCTTCCTCGTCTCCCTCTTCCTCTCGGGAGGCGCCGGAGTCCGATATAACCCGGTTCGCTACCCCCCTTGACCGGGTATCCGTAAATGGATTCCCCATCGTTAAAAAAAAAAAACCTTTGCCCAATTTGTTACATATGTATCGGGCCACTGTAAAATAAATCATAGTCGATTGATCCTATTCATAAGGTTCACTGCACACGAACTTATGTCATACAACCGTACGGACTCTATTCTTAAACCTGAACAGAGAATTAGGGACCATGAGCTTAATTCGACTTTGCTTAGAATAAATAGCGTAGTTTAAGTTAATTTTTTGTGGACCCGCATTCTAAAGCAAAGGTGGACGCTCTTCCATCTAGCGGAAGGTCATTGACCTCACGTGTTTTTATGAATATTACATTGCGTGCGGTGAAGATAAAATTGAAGATAGTTGGCAATATGCCTGTCTATTTCTGCCATGAAGTAGTAATGCGTTTTGGTTTGAAGGGTGGGGCAGCCGTTGTAACACTATACTTTTCAGCATATTATCAAAATAACCCTTTTACTCATATCTATTCATAAAATATTTATTATAACTACTGACACCATGCACCCCAAGGTTTTTTTACAATAAAATCATTTTTTCTTACACTAGTTTTAATTCAAATTTATTAAATTTTATTTTCTTTTTTTTTAGTTGGATTTTCTATAAAAGCGTATTTTTTTAGTTTTTTTTTTTCAACTTATTTACTTTGTATTTATGACAGGATTTAGGCCTCCCGAACAACGAATGCGTGAGTCACCGGGTGGCGGCGTGGGAGCGTCGCGTTGCGGCCGCCCGGGCCGGGGATATCCTGCGCGGGATCCGGGCCAGGAGAGCGAAGACATTACGCGATGCGCAACTACACGCGCACGACGACGAGGCCGCCTGGAGGGAACAAGGTCAGTGAATCGCGTAGTGTACGTACGTGAAGTCGTCGTGGCCTAAAGGATAAGACGTCCGGTGCATTCGCGTTGAGCGCGATGCACCGGTGTTCGAATCTCAGGCGGGTACCAATTTTTCTAATGAAATATGTACTCAACAAACGTTCACGATTGACTTCCACGGTGAAGGAATAACATCGTGTAATAATAATCAAACCCGCAAAATTATAAATTGCGTAATTACTGGTGGTAGGACCTCTTGTGAGTCCGCACGGGTAGGTACCACCATCCTGCCTATTTCTGCCTTGAAGCAGTATTGCGTTTCGGTCTGAAGGGTGGAGCAGCCGTTGTAACTACACTGAGACCTTAGAACTTATATCTCAGGGTGGGTGGTGCATTTACGTTTTAAATGTCTATGGGCTCCAGTAATCACTTAACACCAGGTGGGCTGTGAGCTCGTCCACCCATCTAAGCAATAAAAAAATATCGTACAAAGACCCATTTTCAATGGAAATCCTACCCTTCACAAACATAATTTCCTCCAAAAATAGCAATTATTTTCTAATAAGTCCACCAAGTTACAATAGTTTCTGTTTGGGAATATCCATTCTCATCTGCCTTTTTTTATTTTTAGTACACATAAGAAAGTATTAAGTCCAAGGTGAATTTTGAAGATACATGTTTTGACAGTTTTATCTCGAAAGCAACCTTGCTCCAGATCTTACGTGCCTGCAACACAAGGGCCCTGTATGCGGAAACATCAATATTATCATTTTAGGACATTTTCAATCTTATTCTTGTCTCCTTTCTTGTCATTTCCAGTCAATCAATGATCGGAAATTCGCTGCATTGTGATCATAAAATTGTCGATTCGGATCTTGTCTCGACTATTGTATTTATGCTCTGACCCGTTAAATGGCTTAAAATAGTTGTTTGAGTTATTGCGATTAATTCAATTTTGAAGACTGTGCATTTTATACAAAGCTCACCATAGATCTATAAATAAAGAGACACGAACTTCATAAAAAAAACAGTTAAATCATAAATGTCACTTCTGTTTTTTTATAATTCTCTTCGTTAACGTCCGAAATAATAATATAAAGCGCGAGAGAATTAAACCGTTAAACATGTTTTATATATAATATTTCCTTTTTTAAATGTTTCGGTGCTATTGACGAATTTTAGACTCATCAGTATATTCTTTGGTTTAATATTAGTTATTAATTGTTTAATATCTCAATAACAAATCTAAAGAAAAACATCCAATAAATAGAATGTAGGAATCTAAGTCTTGAGGTGTTCGTTTTTATAGTTGAATTTCGAACTTGCAGACAGTATTAGTGTTGTATATTTACATTTTTAATACTGTTAGTCTCACAGTACTTGTTCTTGTTTTTATCCCTTATCATATCATACGTCATCTCAGCACTCACATCCTTCTCTCACATAATATCTTCTCTCACACAACCCATTGAAACTATTTTAGGACGCCCTTTCCTCATATTAGTCCTTCCTCAGGTTCTTTAAATCAATGCTTAATTAAATTTGTTTTTATTTCCAGAACGCAAGGCAAAAGAAGCCGAAGCGAATATGAGGGAGATAGCTCGTGTCGCCAGGGAAGCCCACAGACGCAACACAGACTTTGCAGACACAACCATCACTGATGCTTCACAAGGTATGAATCCCTTCATTTTATATATCTATTTCGTTTATTGTCGTGGATTTATTTCAATATTAGAGGAAGTTTGAAAGTGGCACCTGTGACAGAGAAGTTGAGAAGTGCACCTTTGGGATGCTATGGACATGTGATGAGACGAAATGAAAATGAGGTTGGTAAGAGAGTGTTAACTATAAATGTGGAAGGATATAGAAGAAGAGGTAGATCTTAAAAGAAATGGATGGATTGCGTGAAAGACGATATGGGTAAGAGGGGAGTGAGCGAAGAAATGGTATATGATATAGAAGTGTGAAAGGAGAAATTATGTTGTGCTGGCCCCAAGTGACCGGGAGAAGGGCAGGAGAATGATGATTTATTTCAGTAATGAAATGTAATTGCAGTCAAAAAACAACACTAATTTATTTTTTCTAAATAAAGAACATTCTAATCGATGGTATTACAAGTCAAATTTAGATTATAACTGCGACATGAATACCGACCCTAACTAATTGGTGTCGACTCCGCCTTATAAGCTCAAAAGACGAAAATAAATTGTGAAATTTACAAACAATATTGTGACCATAATATTGTTTCATATATGGATCGGTTGAAACATCGAAGATTCATTTCTGGATAAAACCATTTGTTTTCATGTATAGCTGGTAAGCCACCGAGCAGGGAGGCGGTGCTGGAATGGTTCAGAACCCAGGAGCTGCCTCGAGGAGTCGGACTCGAAGAGAACAATAAACCAGTGGAATGGTTTCACGGTTAGTAGTAACAGTTAGTAGTGCAGTAGTTAGTAGGCAGCGGCTTGGCTCTGCCCCTGGCATTGCTGAAGTCCATGGGCGACGGTAACCACTCACCATCAGGTGGGCCGTGCGCTCGTCTGCCTACAAGGGCAATAAAAAAAAAATTGGGTTTTTAATTTCAATAGTCATGTCTAATCATTAAAATACCCTGCTTTTCCAAATTTATATAATCGTATTTTTTTTTCGTTGAGAAAGCTGGCTCTTAGTTCTTTCAATGTTTGTCGAATATGACTGACTCGTTGGTGCGGTAATCAGCGCTTCTGAGCGTTAACCTGAAGGTCGTGGGTTCGATTCCCACATCGGGCAAATATTGCGTGATGATCAGCTTTGCTCTTTGTCTGAGTCTTTATTATTTATATATTTAAACATATGTGTATGCAAGTATGTGTGTCAGTCTCTGTTACCCTTAACATAGGGAATCTTAAATTGGGGCCGGATGACAATGCCTAATTTTTTCCAGTTTTATTCTTATTATTATAGTTGTTATAATTACATATGATGTCATTCGGGGACAAAACAAGCAAGCACGAGCCAACCTCTTCTCTCTTCTCTTCTTTAACCCGTATCAATCCAATGCTGAGTGTAGGTCTCTTCGAATGCTCATTCTTTTCAGTCTCTTGTCTTTCGCATCCCTGCCAACCTTTGACCAGATCATCGGTCCAACTCTTTTTTTTTTTTTTTTTTTTTTTTTTTTTTTTTTTTTTTTTTTTTTTTTTTTTTTTTTTTTTTTTTTTTTTTTTTTTNAAGTGGTTACTGGAGCCCATAGACATCCACAACGTAAATGCGCCACCCACCTTGAGATACAAGTTCTAAGGTCTCAAGTATAGTAACGACGGCTGCCCTACCCTTCAAACCGAAACGCATTACTGCTTCACGGCAGAAATAGGCAGGGTGGTGGTACCCACCCGCGCGGACTCACAAGAGGTCCTACCACCAGTAATTACGCAAATTATAATTTTTGCGGGTTTCATTTTTATTACACGATGTTATTCCTTCACCGTGGAAGTCAATCGTGAACATTTGTTGAGTACGTATTTCATTTGAAAAATTGGTACCCGCCTGCGGGATTCGAACACCGGTGCATCGCTCAACACGAATGCACCGGACGTCTTATCCGTTAGGCCACGACGACTTTGGCTGTCTGCCCACGTTACGACGTCCAGTACGAGACTTTTAACCACAGAAGTACAATTAAACCCATCTTGATCTCAGCAACAACTTGCCTCTCATATATCATAAAAATATATTAGAATAATATCATATACTTAATTTGTTTTTGGTTTATTTTACTGTTAATTTTAATATAATTAGATAGGTACAATATAAACTTCTAAAAGTTCAATTGTTTTTTATTTATTTATTATTTCATTTATTCATATATATTTTTTATTTACTCATCACTGTCTAATCTCATGTGCGTTACGAGCAGTAGGCAACCCGCCCCCTCACCCCTGTCACCACCTAAGGCGCGGCCAACTAGTTCCGCGCGCACTATTATACGCAATACATTGCTGGCTGCATACATCTCGAATCTCGTCCGTAGGTCTGATCAGTCGGTCCGAGGCCGAGTCGATCCTGTCTGGCGCCGCGCCGGGCAGCTTCCTGGTTCGCGTGTCGGAGCGTGTGTGGGGGTACGCGGTGTCGTACCGCGGCGCCGCGCGCTGCAAGCACTACCTGGTGGCGGCCGGTGAGCACTACCGCCTGCTCGGGACGAAGAGGCGGGACCATCGGACTCTCGGTTAGTCGAACACGTCATTTCGGATCCTCCCGATCCACTAATGGTGCTTTTAGGTACCTCAAGCACCGGTCATCGTTCTCGTCGAACCCGCCGCTTGCGACGAAGGGCTCGACGAGTAAATTAACCCTCAGACACAGCCCACTGAGTTTCTCGCCGGATTTTCTCAGTGGGTCGCGTTTCCGATCCGGTAGTAGATTCCGCGAAGCACGGCTCTTGCTAGGGTTCGTGTTAGCAACGTCGTCAGGTTTGAGCCCCGTGAGCTCACCTACTAGTTAAGGTTACGCTGATATAGCCTCTCAAGGCTCTCAGCTTAGGTAGGAAAGAATAAAAAAAAAACAGGTTAGTGGAAGAACATCACAACTAGGGTTGTCACGTATTTTTTGCGGAAAAAAAAGCACATAGTATTTTTTTTTATTTCTTTATTGCATAGATGGGTGGACGAGCTCATTGCCCACCTGGTGTTAAGTGGTTACCGAAGCCCGTAGATATCTACAACGTAAATGCCGCCACCCGCCTTGAGATATGAGTTCTAAGGTATCTCAGTATAGTTACAACGGCTGCCCCGCCTTTCAAACAGAAACGCATTACTGCTTCATGGCAGAAATAAGTAGAGGGTGGTGGTACCTACCCGTGCGGACTCACAAAAGGTCCTACCGCCAGTAATTACGTAAATTATAATTTTGCTGGTTTGATTTTTATTACACGATGTTATTCTTTCACCGTGGAAGTCAATCGTGAACATTTATTGAGTACGTATTTCATTACAAAAATTGGTTCCCCCTGCGGAATTCGAACACCGTTGCGTCGCTAGATACGAATGCACCGGACATCTTACCCTTTAGGCCACGACGACTTCATTTACCCATCTAAGCAATAAAAAATAAAGAAACCCTAAGAGACCACTGCTGGGATATTTTCCTGATAATCCAAGACCATTGAAATCACGTACCGTTAAATTGGCTGTGTGTTGTGCTTTCAGTTGCAAAAACACCTATCTATCTCTGTAACACCATCATAATGTAATGTTTTAGCTTTGACCGTGAAATACGAACCTCATGGTACAGTAATCGAGATTATTAATCACTAGACAATCGAAACAATGTATTGTAAATTGTTTTAAAATGATACTACTGGTGGTAGGACCTCTTGTGAGTCCGCACGGGTAGGTACCACCACCCTGCCTATTTCTGCCGTGAAGCAGTAATGCGTTTCGGTTTGAAGCGTGGGGCAGCCGTTGTAACTATAATTGAGACCTTAGAACTTATATCTCAAGGTGTGTGGCGCATTTACATTGTAGATGTCTATGGGTTCCAGTAACCACTTGACACCAGGTGGGCTGTGAGCTCGTCCACTCATCTAAGCAATAAAAAAAAAAAAAAAGAAAAAAAATATATACTAAAGGTACTAAATATGAACCTTTTTTTTATTGCTTAGATGGGTGGACGATCTCACAGCCCACCTGGTGTTAAGTGGTTACTGGATCCCATGGACATCTACGACCTAAATGCGCCACCCACCTTGAGATATAAGTTCTAGGATCTCAGTATAGTTACAACGGCTGCCCCACCCTTCAAACCGAAACGCATTACTGCTTCACGGCAGAAATAGGCAGGGTGGTGGTACCTACCCGCGCGGACTCACAAGAGGTCCTACCACCAGTAAAACTGAAACACATATAAAATTTAAATACGTTATAAACTATACAAAAATTAACGAAGGATTAATATAATTTTTTTATATTTCACATTTCAGCCGATCTCATCAATTACCACAGAACGGTGACCATCACCGAGAGTGGAGGTGAACTCCTCGTTACTGCGTGCAGACCGGCCGATACACCGGCTTGTCTCTCCACAGAATAAACTATAGACAGCGTCAGTCGCACACGATCAGTTTAGCTTGACAAGTAAGCATGACGCTCCAAAATAATTCGTCATATAAAAAAAAAACTATTTTGAATTCGCTACCGAATTGATGTAACGAGAAATGCCAAAAATATAATCAAATTAAAAAAAAAAGGTATATATCGACGCTTGAAAAGCAAACGTGACTAAGCGACAATGCGTGAACTTTACAGCAGACTAATTTCAAGTTGAAATACCTGAAAACAAAATTTATTTTAACGAATCCAGCTGTAATAGAATCTAGCTAGTATCTGTATGATTGAAATGATCTTAATAGACCTAGAAATATATTTTTTTCCACGTCGAATATGGTTATTGCCTATCATTTATTACTGTAAAAAGCAGTTATTGTCGCTTAGTCAATTTTTGACTTTCAAGCGTCGATATGTTATTATAGTGAATTCGTTAATTTACTAAATAGTACTATCATGGAGAGCTTTTAATCATGTTCGTTTGGCTTTTCAGAAGGATTGGCCTAAACAATACAGATGAGATCGATTCTAATGTGATCTATATACATTATACATATATAGCATTGTTCAGGTTCTGTAATCTGTTAACAATAGGTTGATCTCAGGACGTCCGCTTGGTCGAACAATGAATCCAAATCAATCCATCAATGCAATCGATTCTATTGAAAATATAATATTGTCTATGGTAGTTTTCCAATTACAGAGCATAATGCGACTCAGTGACGCACAATGCCGAATTATGCTGAAGCTTAATCGGAACGTTAATTAGTTTTCAAATGCATCAGCAGAGTGCGCTAAGTTAGCACAGTTTTAATTAACATTGATTATTTACTAAGAAACTACGACGAAACGAAAGCCTTACAATTTTTATTAACATTAAATAATATTACTAACGATAATATAAACAAAATTTCGATCAATGCAACTTAAAGATTTGTCAATTTTCTGTCACTGAGTCGGTATCGATTGCGAGTATCACGCGAGAGCAGTACTTTTGAGAGTGCTCGATTGTGCGAAGCGTTGCTGTAGTTGGAACATTCAACGTTGAGCATTATGCCGCATAATGCGCTCTTGTGCTGTCATTGGAAAACTACCAAACACATCATAATGCTTCTTGTAAACTATAAATCGAATTCCAATTCTAAAAAAATTAGGACTGTCACAAACTGTAAAAAAGGTTACTAGTGTCAAAACTGATCGTGTATTGCACAATAGGGACCAGTTATAACTATCAGTCATGTATTAATTTAGTTTATAAGTTTCACTCACATTAATTTAAACATTATTCTATAAGTATTATATTATATGTATAAACAAATACAAAATGTAACCATTATAATCAAACAGCAGTTGAATAGTCTTCAAGTGTACATAAATTCCTAAGCCCCAAGGTAGTTTTCGTTAAAATCTAAAATAAATTAAAATTCTGACATTAATTGCGAACAATATTCCTTCTGCCCACTGTACTCATTGTAGGTAGTCTATTAAAAATAATTATATTAATGATAAAAATTCGAATTATAGTTCTCCGCCAAAAAAATACTTTAAAAAAAATCAGACTATATTTTGGCAAAGGTGTCTAAATAAAAAAAAAACACTGTAAATAATAAATCATTAAAATAATAAGTTGAGAGCATTTTTTAAATTAAGTTAAATTAAAAATAGGAATTTTAAAATTATACCTTCAATTACATTTATTTTCTAATATAATCGAATGTGAAAATAATAATCGATTTTTGCTTTGTGATACTGGCGCTTCCGATTTTAGGGTTTTAATATTACTTTAAAACATATTTTATATTACGAACTCATATTAACAAATTACTATAAATTATTTTTAATAGTCCTTTTTAGTTTAAATAATTAGTTAATATAAATTTTGCTGCACTTTAAATAAAGGTATTTCCATAAAAAACAATTTTGAAAAAAAAAATGTATCTCAGTATTAGTAATGGTATCCAAACACTCAAACTTAATATTTAGAAATATATTTACTAACACATAATACTTAAAAAAACAATATGAAATTAGTTGTAAATTTTTTTAAATCACACTTTTAAGTGAATCCACTGAAACCATATAAGTCCAGGCGACCTAGTATATTTTTAATATCCGCTATCTCTTTCGCACACCCAAGCAGTCGCAGTGACGTCATAATGCCTTTTGATAATACATAACGCATGTAATTCTTTGGAAATCGCATCTTCAAGGACGATTACTAAAAAGTAATAAAAAAATAATAAAAAAATTCACTCTACGGTGCATTTCTAAATTCGCCAAATATTATATGTATTTCTAGTGGATTGCAAAATTTGAAACTCTATTTGAAACCAAAGCGAACAAAGATTTGTTAAAATCGGTCAAAAATAGCTCATAAGCACACTTCCGCGTTGTTGCTCTTTCATGTTTTTGTAACATCAGCATCGTTTGAAGCTGATCAGTCAGCGATGACGCTGACGCTCGAATCAGCAACCCGATTCTATGATTACATTTAAAACGTAATGTATGCCATTTGTCTCTCGTTTATAGATAGCTTTTAGTCTATGACTTTGTATTTAGTCGTTAACTGCCAACTTGAATAATAAAAAATATTAAAATTAATTAAATTTGTTTTATTTGAGAATATGTTACGCGCTAGACTAGCTCAAGGCTTGTCTAGTGCTTGAGACATGAGGTCGGCGTCTCAATTGTGTTAAACAGCTGTCCTTAAACTTTGAACTGAAATGCACGAATGGCGTCATGTAGTTGGTCTGAGTGTTGTTCAATCCTGTTTTTGCAGGATAGCCGTCGGAGCCCCGTGGTTCGTCAAGAACATCGACCTTCATGATAACCTGGACCTAGAGTCCATTAGTAAGTATTTACAGTCGGCATCAATGCGCCACTTCGATAAAGCGGCAAGACACGAAAACACTCTCATCGTGGTCGCCGGTAACTATATTCGCGATCCTGCGGACAGAATGGAAAGCAGTCGACGTCGCCCAAAACACGTCATCTCGGATCCTCCCGATCCGCTAACGGTGCTTTTAGGTACCTTAAGCACCGGTCGTCGTTCTCGTCGAACCCGTCGCTTGCGACGAAGGGCTCGACGAGTAAATTAACCCACAGACACAGCCCACTGAGTTTCTCGCCGGATCTTCTCAGTGGGTCGCGTTTCCGATCCGGTGGTAGATTCTGCGAAGCACGGCTCTTGCTAGGGTTCGAGTTAGCAACGTCGTCAGATTTGAGTCCCGTGACTACTAGTTAAGGTTATGCTGAAATAGCTTCTCAAGGCTATCAGCTTAGGTAGGAAAAAGGCGTCATGAGTGACGTCAGCATTGTCAGGGACGGAGCCAAGCGGTTACCTATCGTTAAGTAGGTACTCTCCACAAGCCTCGTCTGAAGAAGGACATGTCATAGCGCTCAGGAAACACCGTGGAGGGGATTTCATTTCAAAGACGGATGATACGTGGCAAAAAAGATCGCTGTGTACTTTAGAATTTTTATAACAACATACAAAAGTACATACGCAACTTTAGTGCCTATATAACAATATTCTCTTAAAATCATTTCCTCGTTGTTGAGGATCGTGATAATTGCAAATGTCTGTCCGTGAATTGTGAATTGGTAACCCACATTACGACAAACGATTTTTCCGAATACAGCATTTATTTCCCACCTATTCGTTGATAGCCTAAAGGGCTATTCCAGCTACGGTAGGCAGCGGCTTGGCTCTGCCCCTGGCATTGCTGGAGTCCATGGGCTATGGTAACCACTCATCATCAGGTGGGTCGTGTGCTCGTCTGCCTACAAGGGCAATAAAAAAAAAACGCCCGGACGGGTAGGTGAGCTCACGGGATCAACCTAAGAGAATTTGCCAACACTAGCCCTAGCAAAAGCAGCGCATTCGCAGAACCTACCACCGAATCGGAATCGCAACCCATTGAGAAGATCCGGGGAGAAACTCAATGGGCTCTCGAAAGCGGCTTTTTTTCCTACCTGTGCTGGTAGCCTTAAGAGGCTATTATCAGCGTTACCCTAGCGTATAGGTTAGCTCTCGGGGCTCAAACCAGGAGGTGTTGCTAACACTGGCCCTATAAAGAGCAGTGCTTTGCAGAATCTACCACTGAATCGGAATCCCAACACTGAGAAGATCCGGAGAGAAACTCAGTAGGCTCCCTTCACTGGCCTTAGATCATTTCAGATGTTGGAATAGAAAACAAAAAATCGTAGCCAAGCATGTACCCTCGGCACACCTCAATAAAATCGTAATTATTCAAGGTAATTTCAATAAAACTAATAAGAGAATTTATAAATTATTTATTATAATTCCGTGTAAAAACGTACACTATACAATATTTACAAACATTTATTCATCCACTCGACAATTCTAATAATAACAAACAATTCTACAAAAATTCATTCAACATTTAATAAATTTTTGGCAATTTCAATAGCCAAGCGACCAAACTTTGTAACGTTTCCATAAAACAACGGAAATTAACGCGATCTCATGATTATATTTTTTGCATTAAAAAAAATTAATGTATGTTGTTACTATTCAGTGTAGCGTTCTATGTCGAACGTTGTGTACATTATACAGGGTGTCCCAGAAAGTATGGATAATCTTAAAAAACCTCATAGTAGAGCCATTGGCGACAAAAAAAAATGCTCAGGTAGTAACCAAATTGCATATTTAAAAATAAAGTTGATATTTTGCATACTGCTGTGCATTTCTGGAATATACAACAGCTACAAATAAATGAAATCCATAGGCTTTTTGTTGTTATAATATTCTACATGGACTATACTAAGGAATACGCAGGAAATCGTATGAGTAGCTAGTGTAATCTATGATACCTACTACAGTCAAAATCTGTTATAACGACATCGAAGGGACTGCTCATATTCAGTCGTAAAAACCGATAGTCGTAACAACCGGTGATGTTTAATGTGTATCGTGCAAGTACAAACAAATCGATAGGGAATTATTGGAAAAATATATTTATATAATACGCGATTTTTCTTCAATATTAATTAGTTTTATTTTTCTTTGCGACATTTTGAAAGTTTCACGAATAACTCCACAAAGTTTTTTTTTTTTTTTTTTTTTTTTTTATGATTGAAAGTTTACTGGTGGCCCGAAGGCCTTTCCAGTTTCACCAGGACAGGTGGGCGAGCAAAGGCTCAGCCAAGAGGGGTGGGATTTGCTAACAACTGCCCGAGCGCCTCCGAAGGAGACCTAACAACTCAAGAGCAATTGTTTCGCGAATGAATCTACTACCGGATCGGAATCGCGACCCGCTGAGAAGATCCGGCGAGAAACTCAGCGGGCTGATGCATGGGTTAGGTTGCACGTCGACCTCTTTGTCGAGTTCGACGAGTACGGTTACCGGGGTCCCTAAGCCTGCCCCTAGTATTAGAGCTGAAGGCATCTAATGCAAAGGTTATTGGATCTGATGGATCCGTAAGGACGTGTCTAGGGCGTCGACGGTGACTGGCTCCTGCATGATCAGGATTCGGGGAGTAGTCAGCGGCGGCAACGATAAGGCGATTATCATGACGCATAGCCTTATCGAAGTATCGTTCCGACGCTGACTTCATGTATTTCCGAATTGATTCGAGGCCCAGGTCGTCGTGTAGGTCAACGTTCCTCACGAACCACGGAGCCCCGACAGCTAACCTGCAAAAGCGGGATTGTAGGGATTGGAGGGTGTCTATGTGTGTGCGGGCCGCGTGAGCGAACACCACACTCGCGTAAGTCATGACGGGCCTTATGCAAGTTTTGTAAAGTGTCACCTTGTTCCGAAGGGACATTTTACTCCGCTTACAGATCATGGGGTAGAGTCTACCGAGAATAAACGCGGCACGGTCACGGACTGATTTTATATGCGGGCGGAATGTCATCGATGCATCCAGGGTAACGCCCAGGTACTTGACCTTCCTGGCCCAGGGTATGGGTTGTCTAAAGAGAGTAATCGGGGGTGTGAGATTCCTCCTCCTAATCCGGGAGGAAATCCGTGTGGAGCTTCCCCTCTGAAATAGCACCGCAGTACTTTTCGCTGGGTTGATGTCTATGCGCCATTTTCGGAACCACTGTCCTAGGGCTAGGGCTGCGCTCTGAAGCTTCTTCGCGATTAGGGACTTATTTCTACTAGAATAGTAAACAGTCGTGTCGTCGGCGAATAAAGCTAAATGGGTCGGCGGCGACCGGGGAATATCGTTGACGAATAAGCTAAATAGGAGGGGTGAGAGGACAGAGCCTTGCGGGACTCCAGCTGTGAGAGGTCGTGGGGAGGAGCGGGTTCCCTCGACTCGATATCGAAAAGAGCGGTTCGACAAGAAGTCCCGTATGATGAGCACGAGACTATCCGGCACGCCCATGTTGAATAGTTTGAAAATCAAACCATTGTGCCAGACTTTGTCGAACGCTTTTGCGACGTCGAAGAAGAGAGCTCCCGTGTATAACGGTTTTGGTCGATTAAGCCCCACAAGAATGTGCTCCGTGAGGCGGTGCACCTGTTGAACGCATGAGTGATTTGTACGGAATCCGAATTGTTCATCGATGAGAATGCCCTTGGATGAGACGAAGTCTCTGAGGCGTTTGTAGAGCAGACGCTCATACAGTTTGCCTAGAGACATGAGGAGGCTAATCGGGCGGTAGCTCGTCGGATGATTTTTTGGTTTACCGGGTTTATGTATGCCGATAACGTCCGCTTCTTTCCACACCGCGGGAAAGATACAGTTCGCCATAGCGGCATTGAAAATAGATGCCAACATCACGATGAGTTGGACGGGTAGAAGTTTAATAACGCGGTTGGATATACCGTCGGAACCGGGAGCCTTGCGAGGACGTAGGTCTTTGATCAAGTCTTTAACTTCCATCGGGGTGACGGGTGGTAACGCATCCGAGGGTGGCAAGGAGGCTCTGCGTTCTACCTCACTGTCTACTAATTCTACATGAACAGGGTCCACGGATTGAGTGCTGGGCGTGCACTGGGTTTGCAATGTATCGGCCAGCAGCTCTGCTTTTTCGTCATCATCGAACGCCGCGAGTCGGCCTGAGGGGCCTACGAGGGGGGGCATAGTTACTACCGTATCCGATTTGAGAGTACGAGCTAAGCGGTAGTAAGACCTTTGGGAGGGCGCGAGTCCTTCTAAGAAATCAGACCATCTGGCATCTCGGACTTCGGCGATGCGAGACTTTACGTCGCGTTGTAGGGCACGCATTCGAATACGATTTTCCGCGGTAGGATACCTGTCGTAGGCGCGTATCGAGGCGTTCTTAGCTCTAAGGAGTTCCCTAATATCGTCGGACAATTTGAAGCGGTGAAGGAAGTCCTCCGCTACAACTTGTTTCGATGACCTATCTAATGTCGAGGTGATGTGTGACGTTAAGATGTCTATGGCTTCAGCGGTATCCTGAGGAGACGGGGTAGAGTCCGGGCTAAACGGTAGCGATGGTGGATCAGATTCAGCCAGGCTGATGCCCAGCGTGTGCCAATCCACCACAGTCCTCGTGACGGGAACGGAATCGGGAGCGCGACCGAGCTTCATAACGACGGGACGGTGGTCTGAATCTAACTCTGAAACTACTTCGATCGAGTGTAAGCGCAGAGTTACGTTTTTTAATAACGCTATGTCGAGTATATCCGGGCGATGCGCGATATTTAGCGGGTAGTGAGTCGGGGTTAGCGGAGCGACGATATCGAAGGCGAGATCATCGACTAACGCGTCAAGCCGCCTGCCATTCGGGGTTGTGGTGTGTGAGTTCCACCTGATGTGTTTACAATTTAGGTCGCCCGCCAGAATGACAGAGCTCCCCATACCGAGCAGCGCCTCGATATCACTGCTTAGAACGATCTTATCCGGTGGAAGATAAACGGACGCGATAACGATCGGCGCGTGTCCCGTCAGTGAGATTCGGCACACTGATGCTTCGATATTAGCGAGCGCGGGAGGATCGAGCGGGGGTCCACAAAGTTTTGGTGCGTCTTGTGTATAGATAAGTAACAAACTAACTGAAGAGATATGAAGAAGCGGGCTTTGACTACCGCATGCACGTGTTTTGTTTCTAAGAATTAGAAAAGACACTAAACTAAATCCTATTGTTTTCTTTCCTGATTTTAAAAGCCATTGAAGCCAAATGTGGATACCTATTCAAATTGTTTACAATACAGCTTAGCCGGTCGTTCTAACAGATCTGATTCTCCGAAATATTAGTAAATGTGGTCGTTTTATGAGGTATGTCGTTATTACCAATGTCGTATAAAGCAATATTTTTAATAAGGCGGTCATATGGCATTCAGCCGGGACCTTTGTTTTTGGTTATTATAACCGGCATGTTGTATTAAACGATGTCGCAGTAAACGTTTTTGACTGTATATAAATCTACAGTGGTTTTTACGGATGCTCCATTATAACTACTGAACCATGCATCCAATTGACTTGGTATCCATGTAGAAAATACATGTACTTAATAGATAGGCTAATATTTATATGAGAGTTGGACTACCTAATAATAATGACAATAAATAATAATGTTAATTTTAAATGCCCAGCGAAGCGGGTGAGTATGGCTAGTTTTTTATAAAAGTTAATCTGAACCTAAATTTTAATCATGCAATTTGGTATTTTTATTTATTTTTATATTAATTTGGCCACTACCCAAGATTTATTTATTTATTTTTAATTTTGATTCCCAATAGCTCTACTGGGACACCCTGGCCGTTTTCCGATTACAGCACAAGAGCGCATTATGCGGCATAATGCTCAACTAAGCTTCAGCATAATTCGGCATTGTGCGTCACTGAATCGCATTATGCTCTGTAATTAACCTGGTTAATAAGATAATAGTTAATAAGAATAAGATTTAGAATCCCACGCCGCGACGCATTCGTTTGTGCATTGTACATTTTGTCAGTCTGTCAAATGTGTAATTGACATTTGACAATTGTACTATTGGCCGGTGTTGAGCACAGCTTTGCGCTGCTCGTTTTGTTATTTTTCCACCTTTTCAATTAAGCAAAATAAAATGGTTACACATCCTTTATTTAAAACTGAAAATAATTATACACCGCTAGCCGTGTATTATTACTAAATGTATATTAAGAAAAAACGCATGGTGTGCATTGGGAATTTGCGTAGGTCATGGAAAAATACAACAAATTTAAATGACAATAAATATTAAATAAATATATATATGTATACATGTAATAACAATAAAGATAATTATTTCCTTTACGGCGCCTTTAGAAAATATACACGTTTTTAGACAAGTTCAAAGCAAGAACAAATATATTTTAGGTTACTTTTAGTTTATCGTATTTTTATTTGTAAAATTATGTAGGTACTTTTTGTATTTCTTACGCGGTATTATTTATAGTGAAAAAATCGAAACAAAATAGAGTAGCATTTTATAAAGCAAATATTGTTTTAAAACTTGACAATAATAGGAGGCAAACGCTTCTGTTGCATAGATCCCATAAAATAAATTACAAAAAAAAAACTATGATAAAAGAACATTAACTATATAGGTTTAAAGACGGCAATTTGTAAAAAAAATTCTTGATCTTTATTGGCAGTCACATGTACGGTAGGTTGGTTGGAGTTCGCGGGTTCACAACTAAATCGACACCATTACGCTGAGGGGCAAAACAAATCATCAAAAATTATATGTTGATAAGACTAAATACATAATGTAAAATGAACGATCCTTCAAATATTTCATTTTAAATTAATGTCGAATATAAACTTGAATTATTTAAAAAAATATATATCAGCGATTTTACTCACCGCGTGCTCCCAGAGCTCGTATGACTTAGAGGCGGCATGTGCAGGGTGCGGCTTCTTCACTTTTTTGACGGGACTGTTGCTTGCTGAAATTACTTACTAAATTTATATACGCGCTATGGATAATTATGATCTAATCTAACTTTATAAACTCTTACAATGCAATAGAGGACCTGGCAACTTCAATTGCTCCTTTCGTAAAGGTAGGTTTCGTAAGGTAAACTAATTTTGTCAATACAACCTAAAATTATTGTTGTAGTAAATTATTTTATTTATTGTAAAAATTAAATTAGTCGAGATTGTAGTTATTATTTTTATTTAATTCTAGTATAAATGAAATGTTAATGCAATGTAATGAAGTGTAATATGGATGCAAAATCTGAAGTAAATTAAATAAATAAAAACGTGGAGACATCGATTGCATTTTCTTATCAACTTTAAATAAAATATCTTATATGATATTGTAGTGCTTACAGTTCTTTCGTCCTTTTTTATTTCTCTATCTTATTCTAATAACATTCAGCGCCTTTTTTAAAATTTACCCGGTTGCTACTGTAGCGCCACCCTTATTTAGCAGATTTTAACGGACACTTTTTACACACAGAGACGGTTCTCCTTACCTCTACCCTCCATAATTTATAGTTATTGCAGTTGTAAACAAGTTGAAGAGATATCTAATTAGAAGACGTATATAATATTAGAATAAATTCAAATGCTCGTGTTATTTTTATCTTGTTTAAAATCTAAACTATAAATTACCTCCAGCGACGTACGGCAGAGAGATTTCAGGAGCGCATTTTTTGTTTGTTTTCTTGGCGAGGGCGCGACCTCTGAGGAGATCCTCGTCCATGATTAACTTATTGTTCACTCTGTACATCACAAATTAGATACTGATATTTGAAACTGCTGTTACGACATCATCTCGTATTTATTATTGCCATTACATTATCTTTGACGTTATATTATTTCAGTTGTCCGTGACCACGATAACACATTTTTTTTCCCTACCTGGTAGCCTTAGGGGCCATTTGAGCTACTCGTGGACTCAGTGGAGGTTCAGTGCCATAGCAAGAGCAGTACTTGATTGAATCTAACACCGGAACTATAGAGTGCTCCAAACATTGAAAATAATATTACGACAAAAATAAATGCAGGATTAAATCGTAAAAGTGGATTTAATTACGATGACGTTTTAGGACGACTAGTGAAAACCGAAAATACATAAAAAATCATAGTAACGGTAATTGTTTTCTAAACTTGTTGGTTGTAGGAATGGTTTGCATTGGAGATTGATTGTTCTCAAACTTTTGAGCTATTCTGTAGATTACGTAATTAAACGTTTTGATTAGTCGTCCATTTAATTATAGTTTTTTCTCTCTTATATAATAACATGGCTACCCACTGACTTTGTTCATGAAATTGAGCACTACCTTTGAATTTTCCTCGAAGTAATTAAATAGCCTTTAGTGCTACGTAATTATTAAAATACAAGCGCTATGCTACATTTTATTATATAACTAGCTGACCTGGCAGACTTCGTAGTGCCTCAATCAGGCCTAAACTTTTGTATAAAATAAACATAAAATACATAAAAGGAATCCGTCCGACGGGGGACACATCAAATGAAAAATAAAATTCTTATTTTTATTTAATTCTGACCATTTTCATATTTATCTACCTTCTAAACCTTCTCTGGACTTCCACAAATAATTCCTGACCAAAATTAGTCAAATCGGTCCAGCCGTTCTCGAGTTTTAGCGAGACTAACGAACAGCAATTCATTTTTATATATATATGTAGACAGATACCATTTAAATTCACCTCTTCTAACGACCCATAAGTTGTCCGTTGCCCGATACGCGCAAGACCGATAATTTTTTTTAATTGCCTCCGACTACGTCATCATACCTTTTCTTAAATCATTTTGCTTGCAAAAGTATAATTCGATTCAAGTAAAAGAAAAAAAATATTAAAGTACTGACTTTTTTATGTAGGGTGTCCTCGGATACGTGCTGACCGGTACCGGAAAGGTCTGTAATGAATAAGAGTCATTTGAAAAATCACAACACCCAATCACATTTTGCCTACCTATTCTAGTAACCTCAAGGGGCCTATTCTAGATTTACCGAGCTAGTACGCTCACGAGCTCACGGAGCTTTTTTTTATTGCTTAGATGAGTGGACAAGCTCACAGCCCACCTGGTGTTAAGTGCTTACTGGAGCCCATAGACATCTACAACGTAAATGCGCCACCTATCTTGAGATATAAGTTCTAAGGCCTCAGTATAGTTACAACGGCTACCCCGCCCTTCAAACCGAAACGCATTACTGCTTCACGGCAGAAATAGGCAGGGCGGTGGTACCTACCCGTGCAGACTTACAAGAGGTCCTACCACTAGTAATTACGCGCAAATTATAATTTTGCAGGTTTAATTTTTATTACACGATCCTTCACTGTGGAAGTCAAACGTGAACAATTGTTCAGTACGTATTTCATTAGAAAAACTGGTATCCGCCTGCGGCCTTCTAACACCTGTGCATCGCTCGACAAGAACGCACCGGGCGTCTTAACCTCGTGGCCACGACGACTTCGAAAATCAGTTTGGAGTGAAAATTGTACTCGGAGCGGGTAGACCGGGCATCTTATCCTTCGCAAATTCGGTTTCTAAGTAAATCGTATGAAATTCTTATCCAAGCCCAGGACTGGTAGAGAACTACATCCTGCCTATTTATGCCGCCAAGCATTCAATTGTTTCGACCTCAAGTTTCAAAATTGGTGACGGCATTTATATTAACATTATTATTTCTCACCCCCACAAAGATTCTCATCATTAACGCCCCCACAACTGGTGTTGGGAGTCCAACACTCATATAAATATTAGCCTATCCATTAAGTACATGTATTTTCTACATGGATACCGAGTTTCAAGTCAAGCGGATGCATGGTTCAGTAGTTATAACGGAACATCCGTAAAAACCACTGTAGATTTATATATTAGTATAGATATGGGCTCTGTTATGAACAGTATCTGGCAATAATATGAATGAGTTTTACCTGAAATGTCTCATTGAGGGCGCGTGCCAGAGAGCGCGGTGGTGCGGGACGCGCCGGGGCTGGCAGTACCACACTCACAGACTCTTGCATTACCTGCAGCTAAAATAACGAGCCAATTGATCAAGTTAACATGCCCTAAGCCAGGGGGGCTTAGGGCATGTTAATTTAAGAACAAGAGGACCGAGTAATTTTTTAGGTTAATAGGTTTTTTATTATGCACACAATATACATTACAAGCTAAAAAGATACATAATAAATAACAACAAGTAAAAAATCTGTCTTTGTAATATAAGCCTTTTTTTTTCTACCTATGCTGATAGCCTTGAGGCTATTTCAGCTTCGCCCTAACATGTAGGTGAGCTCACGGGGCTCAAACCGAAGTGTTGCTAACACTGGCCCTAGCAAGAGCAGTGCTTCGAAGAATCTATCACCGGATCGGAAACGCAACCCACTGAGAAGATCCGACGAGAAATTCAGTGGGCTATGTCTATGGGAAGCGACGGGGTCGGCGAGGACGGTGACCGGTGCTCGAGGTACCTAAAAGCACCGTTAGTGGATCGGGAGGATCCGTAATGACGTGATAAGTCATGTAAGCACGAATAAACAAGACAAAAGTGCTGAGTTTGTACACAGCTTTAAGACAAAAACTATAGGTTTCTAAAAATTATATGGTGTTTCTCCTCCTGTTTCAATCTATTCCCAGTAAAGCACAAATGGGACAACTGCAGTCTTATTTAGGTTTACCCTTCAATTAGCATTATTGTATCATATTATAGGTTATACAAATAAAATATTAAAATCGCTTTAAAAACTTTATATTTAAAGAATTAATATTAACGAAAAAAGAGAAAACTGTTTGCAAGTGTCCATGACATAAAGGCAGTTTTTCAGCGCTTTACATCTAGTTATGACCGCATCCCGCAGTAAGCTTGTTAGTCGCTTTTCTTACCTCGTTCTCTAGATTCTGTGAATTCAAATTCTGTTGAGATTTCTTCTCGTTCGTCGATGTTTCCATTTGCGTATCTGGGTCTATTTAATGAGAAATGAAAATAGCATTAGTCCATTTTACTGCCAGTAGTAAATGATGTCTAATTCCTTTGCGAATAAACGCTGAATTCGGTCCATTCTTTGCTCAATCCTCGGACAGAATGGTTGTTAGAGCCAAAGATAATCAACTTAGTTCCTTTTTTTTCCTACCTAAGCTGATGGTCTTGAGAGACCATATCAGCGTCACCGGGCGAGTAGGTGAGCTTACGGGCTCAAAACTGACGTTGTTGCTAATATGAACCCTAGCAAGAGCCGTGCTTCGCAATATCTACCACCGGATCGGAAACGCGACCCACTGAGAAGATCCGGCGAGAAACTCAGTGGGCTATTTAGTTCCGTAACTGCAATACGGCCATTCCATACCTATCTGCATATTATATTGGTTATTTGTTTTGTTGTTATTTCACTTAATATCAACTATTGTCCGCGCTACCTCTAACTTAATAAAAAATATTGTTGAAATCAAATACCTTAAGCAAATCAAATGTAGTATGTATCGAAGCTATTTGTCTAATAATTTTCCACTTCTAATCGCCGAAAATACAATAAAATTATCGTATGAATTTTAATTACTAATGATCACGGACGAGAATATTTCAGTTTAAGTACATTACTGGTGGTAGGACCTCTTGTGAGTCCGCACGGGTAGGTACCACCGCCCCGCCTATTTCTGCCGTGAAGCAGTAATGCGTTTCGGTTTGAAGGCTGGGGCAGCCGTTGTGACTATACTGAGACCTTAGAACTATATCTCAAGGTGTGTGGCGCATTTACGTTGTAGATGTCTATGGGCTTCAGTAACCACTTAACACCAGGTGGGCTGTGAGCTCGTCCACACATCTAAGCAATAAAAAAAAAATAAAAAAAAAAACATACTAAAGCTAAACTTACTTCTAAAATACTTTCTGCGTGTATAAAAAAAAATTGTAATAAACACTCACTAGGCGTATAATTGTAGTCAATCAGAGATTCTCCCGCTGTACTGTCCGTACGTGACCTAGTATGATCCTGTTAGATAGTAATGGTTACATTTAATTGGATTAATAATTGTCTTAAACTTTCACGTCTGTCTATATTACACGCATTATTCAACGAGTTCTTTTATATACATTTTAAGCTATTGCATAGCTTTTATCGCTGGTTAGGTTATCGACCGAATCAAGAAATTCCGTAACGAAAATAAAACCTAACACCCCCACTCCTCCTACCATGTAGCTCGCGTTCAACACATTCACACGTTGCGCTTGTGTTGTGAATAAGCACGCGGCGTGACGTCGCACTGCATGCGCATCATGAAAAGTCTGCCCATCTCTCTCTCGCGTGGTCTAGCTCATGAGTGTGAAGGGGACAGTTAATGTTTTGCTTTTGTTAATGTTTATAAATATAGCGTGGTCTTATTTTTTATTGTTTTAATATCAAATGATTACACGGGTCAACATGAAATTTGACTTTGATTGCAAAGCATTAAATTTCGGTAGTTTAGGTCGTAATAAGACGGAAAAAAAATATATGGCATGAAAAACTTTGCTTTTGTGCTTAGAAGACTGATTGAACGAAATTTTTAAAAATCTCGGATTTTAATTTTTGATTGAAAATAAAACTATTGAAATAAAAATGTTTATTATTTTTATTAAGTTTTACTATCAAATTAGCTTACAGAAAAGTGGAAAATAACTTAAAAGTGCACACTTTTACTTTTTCTTTTATGTTCATAGCTACTTTCTCTCAATAAACATCGATATATTACCACTAGATAACGCATCACATACAAAAACCAAACACAAAAATGGCATCGACTAACTGATCTGACTACACCATCAAGTGGAGAAAAACGATGTATAATATAATAATTGTAACCTAAACTATGCCTTTTCCCCAAGCAATAAAGTGCAGTTTAGATTATTTTAACATTCACTTACGACTTTACGCCATGAATGACAAAAAAGATAGTTTTTTACAATAACTTTTATTCCAAATTTAACCTTATCCCCTTAAAAATAAAGCAAAAATTTACACGCATAGCATTTTACTTACGCCCTTTTAAACTTAAGATATTAAGACTTTACTGCTCCGAACAGAGTATTACGGAGTCGCACTTTATACTTTTTTTGTAAGAATATTTTGAGTAATTTATTTTTTATTATGTTTTTTTAATTCATATTCATTCAATTTTTTCAATTTTTTCAATTTAATTCCATATGATTAACAACAAATATTGTATAACTATAGATAATTATACCTGAGTTAGCTATATTGTACCTTGCACATCGGTGGGGAAAATAGATAAGAGCTTTTTAAATCACAAAAACATAATCCCCATCAAATTGTTTTATTTATTAAATACATGTCAGATTCGGTAAAATGGTCTGCACAAACCACACTGGAGCAATTAGGTTTGAAATAATTTTTGCTTCTTTTTTCTTTTATTACTCTGTTATTAAATCTGTAAAAATGTAAAAACAAATTCCAGTTTACAGATTTCACTTCGCCGTCCGTTGTACAGACGTCTGTTGCATTCGTATCTGATCTAGCGATACACGGGGTGTTCGAATCCCAGGCGGGTACCAATTTTTCTAATGAAATACGTACTTAACAAATGTTCACAATTGACTTCCACGGTGAACGAATAACATCGTGTAATAAAAATCAAACCCGCAAAATAATTTGCGTAATTACTGGTTGTAGGACCTCTTGTGGGTCCGCACGAGTAGGTACCACCACCCCACCTATTTCTGCCGTGAAGCAGTAATGCATTTCGGTTTGAAGGGTGGGGCAGCCGTTGTAACTATACTTGAGACCTTAGAAGTTATATCTCAAGGTGGGTGGCGCAAATGCGCAAATGGCAGCGTAAATACGCTGTAGATGTCTATGGGCTCCAGTATAACCACTTAACTCCAGGTGGGCTGTGAGCTCGTCCACCCATCTAAGCAATAAAAAATAATAAAAAAATAAAAAATTATGTGACTCCACTACACTTGTTCTGAAATAGCCCTATTTCATCCTTGTCTTGCATGTAACCGTTATTATGTGTGCGAAAGAAATAACTGCGAAGCAAAATAATAGGATTTAATTTCTTGAAGTACTAATTTGGTAAGAATAACTGATTTATTTCAAATATTTATCACTATCTGTTAATAAAAATTATAAAACTTACCAAAAATACTAAATTTCATGTTGTTTTCTCTTTATAAACGTGTTTTTTACATCTTTTTACAGCGCATTTTAGGATCGTTTCACTCGACGGTCGGCGTGACACTGACGGCAAAACAGTGCTTAATATGAATCTAAGCACAGTTTTATTTGGTTACTTTTGACGCCTTTACGCGGGATCTAGTGGTAATATATCGATGTCAATAAACCCCAAATATAGTCGCCCATCATGTTTTCATTGTATTGGCCTTGATAGCGTTGTTCAAAATTCATGATGTCCTGATGGAAACGTTCTCCTTGCTCTTCGGAATAGGCTCCCATATTGTTTTTAAATTTATCCAAATGAGCATGCAGCATATCGACGCTTGAAAGGCAAACGTGACTAAGCGACAATGCGTGATCTTTACAGTAGACTAATTTAAAGTTGAAATACCTGAAAACAAAATTTATTTTAACGAATCTAGCTGTAGTAGAATCTAGCTAGTAGCTGTAGGATTGAAATGATTTTAATAGACCTAGAAATATATATTTTTTGCGCATCGTATGTGGTTATTGCCTATCATTTATGTATAAAGCAGTTATTGTCGCTTAGTCACGTTTGCCTTTCAAGCGTCGATATGTACTTTTAATGACATCCTGCAGCCCATGGCCTTAAAATTTGTAAGCATATCCTCAACCAACTTTTCGTAGTTTTCAGCTTTATTATTTCCTAAAAATCCAGAAACTACTGCTTTAAAACTGTTCCAACTTGCTTTTTGAGTACGATTCAGCAACGTTGGAAATTTTTCATCGGCGAAAATTTTTACCTCTACGTCTTTTACTCGAATTCACCATACAAAAGTAGCAGTCAGTAATATGGTCTTTTGGTTCTCGCCAAATCCTTGGTATTGCAAATTTCATAGACATTTTCTCACCTCGATACCAACCTAAAAATATAAAAATAAAAATTAATATGTCTATTATTTTGGATTCATCGCTTAATTAAATAAAAATTGCTTACCTTCCAAACACCTTTTACAATAACTACAAGCAACATGTGGAGCCCATGGCTTATCTTGATTCCGTACAGGACAGTCAAAATATGCTTCATATGCTTCACAGAGAACGTGAGATGTCTTTCGTTCATATTTCATATTTCATATTTCACGTCTCGAACTTTAATAAATTGACCACATATAAAACAAAATGCATCAGCATCGTATTTGCACTTTCGTGACGACATTTTATGTTATTCTGGGCTTGTAAATAACACCTGATGGTTGTTTATCACTCGGGTGCCATCTAGCGGCACAGTGTAAACGTTAATACCCCACTCTCACCGCGCGGTCTTTTTAAAAATATTAAAATCAATTAAAATTTATGAAAAAATTGAAAAATGAGTATTATTATTATAACTATCACAAAAGCAAACTTTAAACCGAAAAAATGTATTTTCTTTTCGTTTTTGTGCATAACTAACTGGAAAATAATAGTATAAACTTTAGGACAAAGAACGAAAATTTTTTTGTAGAGTCGTGTTATTGTCTAATTATAATTGCATAAGTTGATGAAAAATGATATGCAATAGCTTTACCGCGGCAGTCCCCGAGTGCCACACGTGGTTTTTTTGTTGCCCTTGTAGACAGTCGAGCATATGACCGCTTCCTATAGTTCTTACAACGATTTTCAAATTTAATGAGATCGGTATATTTTAATGTCCTCACGGGGTAGACTAGTGTCGAGTTTGCCTAGATTAGTCTAGTATGTCCGCGAAAATTCTAGTAAGAATCCGTTGAATAATAGTATGTGTAATATAGATAAGACGCGAAAGTTTAGAGTTAAGACTGGTCTGCGAGTCTAATTTTTTTTTTTTTTTTTAACAACTAAGAGGCAAACGAGCAAGACGGGTCACCTGATGGTAAGTGATTCACCGCCGCCCACGGTCACCAGCGTTTACGCCAGTGCGTTGCCTACCCTTCAGATAAGAATATGCTCTTTTCTTGAATAACCCAATGTCTACACGTGGTCATGGCGATTGGAAAACTCCATAATATAAAGAACTTAAAAAATATAAAAACCGTGCTGAGAACCAGTTAAATAATAGTTTACGTTATGAATTAATAATATTTATACTCGATTCCAATTACGAAGTCCCATTTGACAGACGTTATTACTATGTTATTGTGTGTGTGAATTAATTGTATAACGATTTAGATTGATTGTGTATTTTTAAATGATGATTTACGACCATGAACAAAAAATGATTATTATTTCAAATCATGCGAAACTTGAAGAGTTACGTTCTAAGAAGTGTCAAAAGGGACTTCAAAATTGGAATGGAGTATAGCGTTATCATTTTTATTCAATGTATTTAATATTTTAAATGTGGGGAGTTTATGTATTCGCCCTTCACCTCTTAAAGGTGGGAAGAAAACCCTTATATATAAGAATGCAACGGAAATTACGTCTCCATTTATGTCAAAATGTTCAGCGACACACAAACGTAGGTGTATGATATTTATATTGCTTTTAAGGGTAAAGGAGCTCACGGAACTAGAGGGGTCTAGTGGTTTCTAGAGCCCATGGACAGCAGCAGCGTAAATACCTCTACGCACCGTGCGAATTTAATTCTCAGTTTGCTGGCCCACGCTTCAAGCCGCAACGCAGTTGCTTCACAGCAGAAATAGTGGCAGTGGTTCTTATCCGTGCGGGTTCAGAAAATGCCCTACCACCCCTAATTACGTAAAATGTAATTTTTGCGGGCTTCGTCTTTATTGCACGAACTATTCCTTCACTCGTAAACACGCTCTAAATACGCAGTTCACTGTATAAATTTGTACCTGACTGTGGGATTCGATCCACTTTATCCTTTACGCCACGAGGACATCAATGATCAAGCTGTGAGTTACTTTACTGATTTATGCTGGCAACCTCTGGAATAAAACTTACCGGTATAACATTCAATGTCCATTGATGTCTCGGTTTCCCGAACACTCGTGCTGTGCTCTGCTGCGACGGCGGAGTCTGCAATGAAATAAACGAAAAAGAAAAACATTTATTATAAAAAAAAAAAAATTGTGACCGAATGGTAAACTATGAGGCGTGGATAGAACGATTATTCATTACGTGACGACTTCTATCAGTCAAGTTGCGTTAAGGAACTCCGTTCCAATTTTATGCTACTTACTATTTACTATGCTACTTACTATTTGAAGTCGTCGTGGCCTAAAGGATAAGACGTGCGGTGCATTCGTATGTAGCGATGCACCGGTGTTCGAATCCCGCAGGCGGGTACCAATTTCTCTAATGAAATACGTATTTAACAATTGTTCACGATTGACTTCCACGGTGAAGGAATAACATCGTGTAATAAAAATCAAACCCGCAAAATTATAATTTGTGTAATTACTGGTGGTAAGACCTCTTGTGAGTCCGCACGGGTTGGTACCACCACCCCACCTATTTCTGCCGTGAAGCAGTAATGCGTTTCGGTTTGAAGGGTGGGGCAGCCGTTGTAACTATACTGAGACCTTAGAACTTATATCTCAAGGCGTGTGGCGCATTTACGTTGTAGATGTCTATGGGTTCCAGTAACCACTTAACACCAGGTGGGCTGTGAGCTCGTCCACATAGCTAGGCAATAAAATAAAATATATATATATATTTTACTATGTACTATAAAGCTTGTTATTTTTTAGACAAGAGCATCCGTTACTATTCAGGCGAGCCGTACACTCTCATATGCCTTCTCAGACAACACCATTAAAACATTCAACTTCACTAAAAATAAATGAATTACGAATTAAATTCTAGGTAAGCTCGAACTAGTCGAAATCGACTTTATAAAAAGCTTATATGTAGTAATCACGGTCTTGAGTTTGAAAATTAAAGATATTTGTGTCCCAATTACTACAAAAACACATTCTGTGAATATAGCCGGTAGGTATAATAGCACGTAAATGATTAGTTGCTAAATAATTTTCATTAAGTTTCACAAACTTTCCGTTTATTGCTTTTTTTTTGTTCATATCAGCAAATATGAATGAATGAATAATTTTGAAAATAACATCACACATACGTCCGTTTGCTTCCCTAGTTTCTTTCTGAGTTCCGCGTTGAAATTATCCGCGAATCCGTCCAATGCGAAATACCTGTAATAGATTAAAATCATTTTCACTTAATCCAGAAAATCACTTGAATTATATTTTGTTAAGGCATCTAGCCTATTATAAGATCAAACCCCACTCTGCCTAGCGTTTAGTTACTTTTGTATACACAGAAACTTGTTTAGGACCATTTTAATGAAACGAACAAGTGACACTAATAGAAACAAACACACATCCTTTTTAGTCATCCATTGCTACAAGAACTGTTCAGTATTGAAACCTCGGTGATTACAAAAGAGGCTAGAAAAACCCACCGTCCTCCCAACTCCGAATATCAAGGTCACCGAGCCCAACCATGTATTAAACTTGGCATCTACAACCCGAATGTGGGCACATGAACCGACCGAGATTTAAGGGATAAGATGCCCAAATGTACTCGCATCGAGTGACGTATAATTAACCACATAACCACATCTCACTGAGTTTCTCGTCGGATCTTCTCAGTGGGTCTTAGTTACCAGGTAATAAAATGCCTTAAAAACAGTAATGTAACTTTTTTTTCTACCTAAGCTGATAGCTTTGAGAGGCTATTTCAGCTTCGCCTTGACGTGTAGGTGAGCTCATGGGGTTCAAACGCAGAGAGCAGTGCTTCGCAGAATCTACCACCGGATCGGAAACGCGAGAAAAAACATACTTGTGCCTCAATAGCGCTGCAGCTGTGGGTCTCGCCCTGGGCTCAGTTCGCAGACAGGCGGCGAGGAGGTCCCGCGCCGCGCCGACCCCGGGGAGCGTGCGGGCACTGCGGGGCGCCGCAGACGCCGTTAGCCGCGACACTATCTGCTGGTGACGAGGAGCTAACTTACCTGGAAAATTTTGAGATATAATTTTTTATTCCATCCCACTTAATATTTTTTTTTTTTTTTATTTAATTTTTAATTAAAATTATATTTTTTCCACTCCAAATTAACTCAAATTCAATCCAATATATAAATATGTATATAAAAAAAAGAAGCATGCAAATTGAAAATGGCTAAAGCCAGGGATAAAGGTTGTCCCATAATAAAAAGGGATAGATGACCAGGAGGGAGGTTTTAGTCCGTAGGTCACTGAAACACTTTCTCAGTGGAGTCGGGCATGCCCTTGGGTATCCATGAGGATTTTCTCCCGCCCACGCGAATAAAAAATAAAAATAAAAAACTTATCTGGAACAAGCCCCATTTTCTTTAAAACAAGAATATATCTCATGTACCTATATTTAGTGGTGGTAGGACCTCTTGTGAGTCCGCATGGGTAGGTACCACCACCACCCTGCCTATTTCTGCCGTGAAGCAGTAATGCGTTTCGGTTTGAAGGCTGGGGTAGCCGTTGTAACTATACTGAGACCTAAGAACTTATATCTCAAGGTGGGTGTCCCATTTACGTTGTAGATGTCTATGGGCTCCAGTAACCACTTAACATGAGGTGGGCTGTGAGCTCGTCCAACCATCTAAGCAATAAAAAAATCCTTGTCTGCTGATTCTAAACCGATACTAATTTCACTTAGTAGTTGATTAGTAGAAGACTTCAAGAACCACAATCGCTCTTTCAAATTCAAATTCAAATTCTTCGGCCCAATGTCCCATGCTACCTTAGATTTTACTGGTCAATGGTGTAAACCCACATCTGATTTTGTAGTTAATGTATGTAAATTTTAGTTGCTGAAACAGATTCTTTGTTTCTCAAGTATTTGACGAGCATATTATTGCCGTAAATTGGTTTTGTTCTTCAAACACATTGCTCATTGATTTTGACTGACAAGTCTACGGTATCTTCATTTACTCACTTTGGATACTGTTCAATTCCAGAGTGATTATCTATATATTAATACGTGAAGCAAAAACTTTGCACCCCTTTTAACGAAAATTGCGCGGACGGAGGAGTATGAAATTTGCCACACTTATGGAGAATATAGAGAAGCTGCGCACAATACTAATATTTTTTTAAAATAATGCGTAAAAGATACATTAAATCAATAAAGAAAACATTATACACACTACCATGTATTTGACACACACGCATGCGTACTCTTTTGTTGTCAAACTTATGAGTGATTCTCCGAACCCTAAATTTTCGATGTCTTGAGGTTTATTTTTGTAACTAACTGACAAATCAGTCTGCAATTAATTTTATAACATACCTCAGACTATTGCCTATCTTGCACAAGTTAATTTCTTTAATAATATTTATTTAAATATTTCAAAAAAATATTTAAAAGTAGTTCTTCTGACTAATATGGGTGTCCGTAACCCAGTTTCTTGAACATTAGTAACAATAACATTATTTCTTATCCATAAATTGATGTGAATTATAATTATTACGAAAGAATATTACTTGTTTCTTTACACCAAAAAAAATGGTACTAATATTTACAACACACGTCCGGTCCGGTCCGGTCCGGTCCGGCACAAAAGTCTGATTCATTTTCACGCGCTTCACTTGAACGTACCCAGCTAAATACGAAACATCAGGCGACCTCTCCCCGCGCTGGCGGTAGCCAGTGGCTCGGCTGACGTGGTCGCGACGTGACGTGTCGCTGGTTCGTGTCGTCGCGGAGATATAAAGGTAAATATCTGATTCATATAGCCTTGGTACACCTGTGTTTCTGATTTACGAACATACTTGTTCGTTTTTATAATTAAGGTAAATGGTTATCAAACTTGAATCTGCGGGAAATATAATGCCATTGGGGAACAGAAACCTATGTATAAATAACAATCCTTAATTGCATACGTGTGATGATTTATCGATGTTAATGGGCAAATTTCTGATTGATATGTCTGGAAAATACCATATTAATCAGAATGTCACACATATTGTTAATGAAACGGTACATTGGCGGCACGTTACGCCTGTAACAAGTCATTTCGTATGAACCTAATGTTATTTACATGTCTAAAAACTGTAGCTGTAAATTTCGCAGCAGTCCTAATAACGTCAAATATTGTGATGATTGATATTGTCAAGTGCCATATCATGCTGTGATTGACTAGATTTAGATGTTATGATAAGCATCGTGTGCATTTACTGTGATTTTAATAAATAATATATATTAATAATAATAAATAATAACAAAAATAAATGACTGATTTTTCTAACTAGAATTTCATTTCTATCCCTAATTCTGATTCATATGGCCCCAAAAATTTTAAAGCTAATTATCTCGGAAACCATTTTATCAAAAAGTGTGCCTTTTTTAGATATTGTATCTTAGGTTATCATCTTTCGTAAAAATATGTTTTATAAGCTTAAATGTGAAAAAAAATAGGCCATATGAATCAACAAAGAACGCAATTTCGGAGAAACACTCTAGTAGCCATTGAGTTAAGCAATGTACATTTAAACAATGTGCATTTATATCAGTGGTGTAATATAAAATACCGCTAAGAATAGTTTTAACCAAAATCGTTATTATTCTTACCTACAGTCTTTATTATAAGGGCTAATTGATCTATGTCGGAGTCTCCAGGGAATAGAGGGTCTCCCGTCAACATCTCCGCGAACAGACAGCCCAGTGCCCAAACGTCTACCTCTGGACCGTATCTGATGCAACAAAAAGAGATATTTTGAAATTTATCTAAATTCAATTACCTCGTCCTTGCGTCGATAACCCTCAATGCTGAGGGTCGTGTCTATGGGGCTTTCTTGGGAAAATACACATGGTGGGGTCCCGCGTCCTTCCACGGAAGTACTTTTGGAACAGATTTAGTTCTTCGAGACCGCTGAAGCTTTATTTGGGGATCCGGCTAATTTTCCGCCACCAGACATTCGCCGTTGACTGTTTTACGGTGGAAAAGTCGAACTCCAAGTCAACCCTCCTCTTTTCTCATTGGGGTTATTATTCAATTACCAATTACCAAAAATCAATATATTTAGTAATAATACCCGGTAATAATTGCTTCACTGATTTGTACTGTCATTTGTTATCTATACTAATATATAAATCTACAATGGTTTTTACGGATGTTCCGTTATAACTACTGAACCATGAATCCGATTGACTTGAAACTTGGTATCCATATAGAAAATACATGTACTTAATGGATAGGCTAATATTTATATGAGTATTGGACTCCCTACACCAGTTGCGGGGGCGTCAATGATGAGAATCTTTGTGGGGGTGAGAAATAATAATGTCAATTTTAAACGCCCAGCGAAGCGGGCGGGTACAGCTAGTTTAGTTATGATAGATACTATTTGGACTAAAAAAAGTTTGTCAAATGTGATTTGCTCCAAGTTGGAATTTTCTTCTGTACTTATGTGTAGCTTGCACTCAGCGAGACACCTTTGACACGGGTAAATATCACCACCTATTTCTGCCGTGAAGCAGTGATATAGTTAGGTTTGAAGGGTGGAGCAGCCGTTGTACTATAAAATTGAGAACTCATGTCTCAAGGTGGGTGGCGGCATTCACATTGTTCATGTCTATGGGCTTTGGTAACCACTTAACACCAGGTGGGTCGTGAGCTCGTCCACCCATTTAAGCAATAAAAAAGGACATATACATTTACAAGACAAAAATAAACACAAAACACTTTGTATTTATTCTTGACGAACACAGTGATTAATAAAATCTGGAACCAAATTGGGTTCAGTGGAACATTAATCGTGACCAAGATTAATAAGACTACAAAGATTTTGATATATGAAAATTCTGTAACAAATTTAGACGTAGAGTCGTTTTAAAAGATTTCACCAATATTTCAATCCACTAACTAACGTCTCGTTCACCAGGATTTTTCGAGGCTCATTCTCCATATTATAATTACTTTTCATGTTAACAAATCTGATTCGTCTGAACCAAAAAATTAGTACCTGTGCTCCGCGACCAATAATTCAGGAGCCCTGTACCACCTCGTCGCCACGTACTCCGTGTAAGGCTCGCCGGGAGCGGCCAGAGTCCTCGCGAATCCCAAGTCACAGAGCTTCACGATACCAGCGTTTGACACTAGTACGTTCTCCGGTTTCACGTCGCGATGTATTATCTGGAAATGGATTAATAAGGGACATTGATTAACAGAGTATAAATTATTAACTCATATTTTTATTACATTTAGTTGAATTATTAATTGAAATGCAATGGGAAAAAAACGGAATGAATATGTTAGAAGAAGTCTGAAAGTGGCACCTGTGACAGAAATTGAGAATGGTATGGACATATGATGAGACGAAATGAAAATGAGGTTGGTAAGAGAGTGTTAACTATGAATGTGGAAGGCTATAGAGGAAGAGGTAGGCCTATGAAACAATGGATGGATTTCGTGAAAGACGATATGTGTAAGAAGGGAGTGAGCGAAGAAATGGTATATGATAGAGGAGCATGGAAGGAGAAAACATGTTGGGCCAACTCCAGGTGACTGGGAGAAGGGCAGGATAATGATGATGATGAGTTGGATTATATTGACTGTATTAGTTTATTAGGTCGTCAAATAAGTGTTCGGTATTTTGTTAACAAAATTAGCTGACGTACCTACTGATAATGTTTTTCTACCAACTTCTGAACATACGTTTTGTAGGGAAATGTTTTAGGATCTAAAAGTCATATAGTATATTTAAATATAATTATTTATGTGTCTGTGTTTATGAATTTTAAGATAGCCCAAAAGTGAATCGTGACACCTAGCAAGAGTGCTAGGGTTAGTGTTAGCAACGTCGTCAGGCTAAACCCCGTGAGCTCACCTACTCGTTCTCTAAATCTAGCTTAACCCCTCGAGGTTACTAGTTAGAATAGGTAGGAAAAAATGTGTCCATACAAATATATGCTGCGTTATTTACTTTATTCTACATCATATGCAATTATCAGACAGTGATTGATGTATGAACATTATATTTCTAAATACTACGATAATTTTTTTTTATTTCTTAGATGGGTCGACGAGCTCACAGTCCACCTGGTGTTGAGTGGTTACTGGAACCCATAGACATCTACAACGTAAATGCGCCACCCACCTAGAGATATAAGTTCTAAGGTTCTAAGGTCTCAAGTATAGTTACAACGGCTACCCCATCCTTCAAACCGAAACGCATTACGGCTTCACTTTAGAAATAGACAGGGTGGTGGTACCTACCCGCGCGGACTCACAAGAGGTCCTACCACCAGTAATTACGCAAATTATAATTTTGCGGGTTTGATTTTTATTACACGATGTTATTCCTTCACCATGGAAGTCAAACCACCTACCAGTTAGTGTTAACTTTTAACTCTATGTGGCACGCTAGAATACATAACGCGCCTTACGACCTTGAACTCTTCGGTCGCCTCGAGCCTGACATCAGGGAGGTCGTCTCGTACAAGGGCTGGAGTAAGGCGTAATACCTTCAGCCCCAAGCTAGGTCAAGTTCTTTTTGAGCAAACAAGACGCTTACACCTGGGCGGAGGAGCATACTGCAAGCGTATGCTCTATGCCCTTTGTGGCTAGCATATTAGTGGCAGACCATCTTCCGGCTTGCTCCCATAAACACGGTACACGTAACTACAACTAGGTACTAACGGAATTCTGATGGCAATAATCAATTCCCTTCAGCAATTGGTACAGGTGTTTCTTCGCTGTGTCCTCCCCGAGGCCTCCTTGGGAAGCTTCAAGCTCGTCCAGCAGCGTGTGATCCAAGTACTCGAAGACCAGGTAAAACCTTCGCTTTCGGCGGAACACCTCAATCATATTCACCAGATGATCGTGACGCAGTTTCTGTACATTGAAAAAGTTGCATTGCTCAGTTTCGTATAACGCATTCCATGAGCTCTAAGAGTGCCTATTTTATTTTCAGGAACAGTCTCTAACACCAAACAGACACTTCAGATGAAGAATCAGAAAATTAAATACTATTCACTAGGTGATAGGATAGCTTTTATTAAAAAAAAAACTGCACCTAAACTTTACATAATGTGCTGAAGCTGAAGGTGTCTTCATTACCGAATTTTTACCAGCGACGTCATTTGGGGTCAACAAGTATGACCAGCTAACCAAACCGTGGGCCAAAAGTAGACGGACTATAATTAATAGAAAATAGTCATCGTTTAAATCGTTACAGATTTCCCTTCAATGATAAAGTCCGCTTTGATTTTAACATGTCATTTAAAAATTTACACGGATGGGTACCAGGAGCGTGGGGCGTCCTCCAACCAGGTGGACCGACGACTTAGTGCTCACGACGGGTAGTCGTTGGATGCTGAAGGCGGAGGACCGCATTATGTGGAAGGCATTGGGAAAGGCCTATGTCCACCAGTGGGCAGATAAGGGCTGATGATGATGATGATGATGATTTAAAAATACTGCTCACTTTCAACATGCGGATCTCTCTTAATGCCATTTTCCTGACCGCAGCATCGTCTTCGGTCTCAAGGAACTTCTTGATGGCGACCAGCTGACCCGTGTCGCGGCGACGGCACTTCAGCACCACGCCGTATGAACCCTCGCCGACCTACCCCTAAATTCGATTAGTTGTGTAGGGCACAAGGGACCCATATGAAAAAATCTGGGGAGAAATATACTTTTTTCATCGGTTTTCACGAGTCTTAGATATAACTTAAACTATTTTTAATAGGATTTAAATTAGCTTCAGACGTATGTATATGTAACGGAATCATTGAACATGATTTTGGCCAAAACATCGGATTAACTCAAAATTTGGTATACTTATTAAAGACCGATGACAATTTAACATTTAAAAAAAAAATTTAAAAAATTAATTGAAATAATTGAAATTCAACTAAAAATGAAAAATAAATAATATGTAGTTTAAAAAACTGACAAAATACGCTTTTATAGAAAATCCAACTAAAAAATAGAAAATAAATACCAATTAAAAATAGTGTAAGAAAAAAATATTTTATTGTAAAAAAGCGTGGGGTGCATGGCTTTATAAATAGATATGAGTAGAAGGGTTATTCTGATAATATCCTGAAAAGTACCACACGCTTTTTTTTACAATAAAATAATTTTTTCTTCCATTATTTTTAAATCAAATTTATTAACATTTATTTTCTATTTTTTAGTTGGATTTTCTATAAAAGCGTATTTTGTTTTTATTTACGTTACGGACAGTTTTTCTAATGTATTCGGTTAATCTGTAAAACATTCTAAGCACCGGAAACACTATAATAGTAAAACATGCGAGATTCAAGCCTTAAAGTAGATTTAATTGGAAGGTATTCATTTAAAACTTTGCTTATAAGTTCAGTATACTTTTTTATTGCTCTCTAAGCGTGCTTGAACGCAAGATCATGAGCCTGCAGTCATTAGATTCTTGTCACAAGGCTCTCCAAATTAACATGGTCTTTCTGATTATAAGTAATTACTATAACTAATTAATCGAGCACATCGTCAGCATTCACGTTCTTGTTGCATTACCAACCAACTGTCCAGATATGAGGTCGAATTTTAAATGAATATTACCAATAATAATGTTGGTGTAGCATAGTCTACATCAGGGATTCCCAAACTTATTTTGTCTACTGCCCACTTTGAGAATAAGTATTTTTAGCCCCCCCCCCTCTTTTCACCTACTTAAAACCACTATAGCGAGAGCTCATTCGGTTTCTAAGAGTCCTCCTAGATGAAATCACAAATCGCCTCCCAAGCTTCTACACAACGCCCCTAATTTATTTTTCTGGGTGTCTTACCGCCCCTCTTTAGGCCTGCAGCGCCCACAAGGGGGCGTTATCGCCCACTTTGGGAAAGGCTGGTCTACATTAATCAATTTCATAATCATCAGTACGGTTGTACAGTCTATCTACACTATGCAGTATTTAGTTTTACACACTGACCACGGATAGCTGCTCGTATTTATCCATGGCGCGACTGTTAGGCGTCGACGGTGAGAACGCCGAGCGACGGTCCACCCTCTGCTGCATCCCCGCTGACATACCAGGGAGACATTTTCAAATCTCAAAACGGCAACTGGAATTAATAACAACATAATAAATACTGTTACGCGCTGGGGTTTGGGATAAATAAAATTCGTCCGAATTACAAGTTAACACTGTATTCAACACTTAAAACACTTCACACACACTTTAAAATTCTCAATACGCTTTTCCGCTTCGCTTCAGGTGATCCGTTCGCTGTTTCGCTTCGAGTAGTTCCGATTACTAATTGACTGCGAGCCATCACTGCAACGCTTTTATAGTTGAGACAATATACAAAAGAAATTTGTTTTAAATAAGATGCAGATCCTAAATAGGATTATCATTTTCCTAACTAGAATTAATATTATTACTTCATACTTGCTTTTTTAATTTACATTAACTATCCAAATAAAAATTTGACCTTAATAAAATCAAAAGTCTGCTCATTTATTGCCTCTAAGGCGGAAAGTTCGCCGGGTCAGCTAGTCTCTAATATATTTAAATACCCTAAAACGACTACTCCATCCACCTTTCAAACTAAGAATCACAAATATCCTGTGTCTTTAAGCCATTTGCTTAAATTCACAGACAAAAAAAAAAAATCAACCGGTTTTCACAACATCATATTTGTTAGAAAACACACCACTGTAGTACACGAGATACCATATAATTTATAGACTAAATGACAAGACTTTGAAACATACACAATGAATACGTTGAATTTTCCAATGAACAACCTAATGTTTAAAAATTAACAACCGATTCTTCTTCGTGTGGTACAATTTCAAAACGAAGAAAATAAAAAACGTTATTTTGGGACGGAGGAAAGATCTTCCACCGAGCGGGTGATATTTGCTCGGTAGGCCGACGGTCCGAATGTTGTTATTCGGAACTTGTATATATGCAAGCTTATCTTGAAAATGTCGTAAGCGAGATTCAGGCATCTGTCAATTATCTTGCGTTGTATGATGGCTACCCGCCACATTATTTATTAACATTTTAATACTAAATGCGGTTAATTGGATAAACGCAATTTAAAGTCTGTTTGAATAAATGTAATTTACAGTTTCACAATTTTGCATTAAGTATACAGTTTTGGTGGGACCTTGAAAGGGAACTAACTCTCTATGTCTTTCTCATGAAAAGAGTCTTAAAATAGAATTAGTATGACTACTGGTGGTAGGACGTCTTGTGAGTCCGCACGGGTAAGTACCACCACCCGGACTATTTCTGCCGTGAAGCAGTAATGCGTTTCGGTTTGAAGGGCGGGGCAGCCGTTGTAACTGTACTGAGACCTTAGAACTTGCATCTCAAGGTGCGTGGCGCATTTACGTTGTAAATGTCTATGGGCTCCAGTAACCACTTAACACCAGGTGGGCTGTGAGCTCGTCCACTCATCTAAGCAATAAAAAAAAACGAAGAAAACTAAAATTAATTTGTTAAAATTTTAATACTAAATGCGGTTAATTGGATAAACAAAATTTACAATTGGTTTGCATGAATGTAATCTACAGTTTCACAATTTTGCATTAAGTATAGGTACAGTTTTGGTGGGACCTTGAAAGGGAACTAACTCTCTATGCCTTTTACATGAAAAGAGTCTTCAAATAGAATTAGTATGACCACTGGTGGTAGGACGTCTTGTGAGTTCACACGGGTAGGTACCACCACCCTGCCTATTTCTGCCGTGAAACAGTAATGCGTTTCGGTTTGAAGGCTGGGGCAGCCCTTGTACTGCAAAAGCTGAGGGCTTAGAAATCATGTTTTAAGGTCAGCTGCGGCATTTACGTTATAGTCGTCTATGGGCTCTGGTAACCACTCAACACCAGGGTGCCCGTGAGCTCATCCACCCAACGAAGCAATAAAAAAAATCATGGTATTATATCATCAAAAAGAATTTTAAGTGTATAGTTTTGTTTAATTCGTTTGTCTACTCGATAAATCTGATATTGAAATATCTGTGTATCGTTTTTCACTTGCACCGCGTTAACAGTGCGGAGTGTGATAGTTCTCACGATAGAAATAAAACGAGTAATTACACACGCTTTCATCGTAGGTACAATGGAATGACTATGACTCAAAACTGGAATTTACTGGATTCAATATAATCTATATATTAAAACGTGAAGCAAATGTAATTTTTTTTTTAATTATGATTAAAAAATACATTAAACCAATAATGAAAACATTACACACACTACATACCATGTATTTGATGCACACACGCATGCATACTATTTGCTTATTGTCAATTTTTTCTTATTGCGTAGTCTGTGGTCAAATTGAGAATAGATTAAATATTGTGGGTCTTTATTTATATTTGTCTAAAGTGTAGTCTTGGCGAAATCTATGATTGTAGAAGTAAATAGTCTTTTACAATAGGATCAAAATCAAATGGTAACCGGAGTCAATCGATATCAACAATGTAAAACCCGACACCTAAATAGGGATAAGAGTTCTAAATCTTAGTTTGTACAACGGCTGCCCCAACTGAAACGCATTGTTACTCACAAGAAGCCCTAAAAGAGTATAAAGCTATATAAATCTGGTTTGTTTTATCAAGAAGATAACATATACCTTTACTGGTGGTAGGACCTCTTGTGAGTCCGCGCGGGTAGGTACCACCACCCTGCCTATTTCTGCCGTGAAGCAGTAATGCGTTTCGGTTTGAAGAGTGAGGCAGCCGTTGTAACTATACTGAGACCTTAGAACTTCTATCTCAAGGTGTGTGGCGCATTTACGTTGTAGATGTCTATGGGTTCCAGTATCCACTTAACACCGGGTGGGCTGTGAGCTCGTCCACACATATAGGCAATAAAAAAAAACAAAAAATATTTGGAATTAATTTACCGTTGATATTTAATTCAGCTCACGTCACGCGAGCACCGCGATAATTCCTATTACTTTCAACACGCCGAGTATGTATGAGTTAGCTTTACAATATTTACGTAAAATTTACGTGCGTTTAATCGGTCCCACGGCATGAGGTCAATGTCAAACGACGGTGTCCATTTTTTATTCGATTTATTCAAACACCAACCAAGGACGAAGCTAAAACGGTATTGTGTAAACATTAAATTTTTAAGGTCACATTATAATCAATCATTATTACGACATTATATATTATGTAGTATAAGGCTTTGAAAAGAAAACACACGTGCTAAAGTTGAGACGAGCGAAGATAGACAGTTGCACGGGAGGCGGCTGACCACGACTTGGTTTTGACACTGGCATTGATGACGTTCAAAAACGATGGATGCCGGGTGTACGTACCATCGGCGTCAATAAAAAAACCTTTTATCATAATTTCATTACGTAAGATTATTAACCCACTGAGTTTCTCGCCGGATCTTCTCAATGGGTCGCAATTCCGATCCGGTAATAGACTCAGCGAAGCGCTACTCTCGCTAGGACCAGTGTTAGCAATTCGTTCGGGTTGAGCCCGTGAGCTCACCTACCGATCCACGCGAAGTTGGAATAGCCCCTTGACTACCCAAGGTTAAGAAAGGGAATTTAAAAAAAAAAACTGGCCTACATATAAGTCTTCTTTTTCTCCACCTTATCCCACTAGGTGGGGTCGGCATAGCAGATTTTTCTCTTCAATTTCCTTCTTCTATCAGCCGTCATCTCAACACTCACTCCTCTCTAATTTTTTTTTTTTTTTTTTTTTATTGCTTAGATGGATGGACGAGCTCACAGCCCACCTGGTGTTAAGTGGTTACTGGAGCCCCTAGACATCTACAACGTAAATGCGCCACCCACCTCGAGATATAAGTTCTAAGGTCTCAGTATAGTTACAACGGCTACCCCACCCTTCGAACCGAAACGCATTACTGCTTCACGGCGGAAATAGGCGGGGTGGCGGTACCTACCCGTGCGGACTCACAAGAGGTCCTACCACCAGTGATTACGCAAATTATAATTTTGCGGGTTTGGTTTTTATTACACGATGTTAAGTATTCCTTCACCGTGGAAGTCAAACGTGAACATTTGTTGAGTACGTATTTCATTAGAAAAATTGGTACCCGCCTGCGGGATTCGAACACCGGTACATCGCTTCAACACGAATGCACCGGACGTCTTATCCTTTAGGCTACGATGACTTCCTATCGTATCGTCATTCACACACTCCATCCATGTCTTCTTCGGTCAACCATTTCCATGCATCTCCTAGTCACATGCATCCCCTCTCTACGCATCACATGTCCATACCACGCTAACCGTCCGCTCTTTAATTTGTTGATATACTCATTCATTCTACCTACATTTAAGAATGTTCTACAAAATGATATCAAAGTATTTCGTGATGTTATGGTTGGCGGGAGCGATGCAGTACGCTCGCTAAGTATTATCGATTTATAATTTGTGACATCGCGATCGTCTCGCAACGAGACACGCGATATTATATCCTTAGACTGTGACCTAACCAAGACAATAATGAAAAAAAAATCTCTTTTTTCCGTCTCACATCACAGTTTATTTGGTTATAGGTTTGTCCCCGAGTCCTGATCACGCTGGAGCCAGTCACCGTCGACGCCCTAGACACGTCCTTACAGATCCATCAGATCCAATAAGCCTTGCAGTAGATGTCTTCAGCTCTAACCCTAGGAGCAGGCTTACGGACCCCGTAAGTAGTAACCCTACTACCCTACTCGTCGAACTCTATGCCGAGTTCGACTTGCAAACTTAACCCATGATTCAGCCCGCCGGATATTCGCAGCGCGATTCCGAACCGGTAGTAGATTCATTCGCGAAGCAGATGCTCTCGAGTTGTTAAATCTCCCTCGGAGGCGCTCGGGCAGCTGTCAGCAAATCCCAGCCAAAGCCAAATGCAATTTTTAAAACTCTCCATACGCTTGGTATCAGTAAAATGTTTGTGTACCGGGCTATTAATAGGTGCAATGAGACCTCCTCTGTTTGTGACAGAAAAAGATCTGGCCGTCCACGTAGTGTTCGTACGAAAAAGGTGGTCAAAGCAGTAAGGGAAAGAATTCGAAAAAATCCTGTCCGAAAGCAAAAGATTTTATCTCGGGAGATGAAGATAGCACCTAGAACCATGTCGCGTATTTTAAAAGATGACTTAGGACTTGCAGCCTTTAAGAGACGTACTGGTCATTTCTTAACTGATAATTTAAAAGAGAATAGGGTGGTAAAATCGAAACAACTACTGAAACAGTACGCAAAGGGAGGTCATAGAAAATTTTTGTGTACGGATGATGCTGTTCGTTAGTCTCGCTAAAACTCGAGAACGGCTGGACCGATTTGGCTAATTTTGGTCTTGAATTATTTGTGGATGTTCAGAAAATGTTTAAAAGGTAAATAAATATGAAAATGCTCAGAATTAAATAAAAATAACAATTTTGTTTTCCCTTTGATGTGTCCCCCGTCGAACGGATTCCTTTAGTTTGTTTTAAATTTATTTTATACAAAATTTTAGGTCATTTATTTATTAATTGAGGCATTGCGAAGTCTGCCGGGTCAGCTATATGAAATAAATACTAGAGTATCTAATTTTTATCGTGACACAATTCATTGCGAGATGAAAAACAAGGGTCCACAACACTTCGTGACTTTCTCATTAGTTATGTCTTCAGTGATCCATGGTTCGATGACCGGGTAGAGCTAGACCGCCGTAGTCAAAAGAATTAAGAGCCGGGGTCTGTGTCAACTTTTTTCTCGTCCGTATCATTCATCGCGAGTATTCTAGCTTGGGCCATTGCATTTATGTACTAAATTTTTTTTTAACTGTTTACTCTAGATCTTTTCTAAAGGTAAGCTGATTATAATGACTTTTTATTTGAAAGCTGCTTCTCGTGTATTTTTTTTTACTGCTCAGATGGGTGGACGAGTTCACAGCCCACCTGGTGTTAAGTGGTTACTGGAACCCATTTTTATTAACATTTTGTATTATAGTAGTTATTTAATGTGTAATTGCACAAATGTATAAGTGAACTAGCTGTACCCGTCCGCTTCGCTGGGCGTTTAAAATTAACTTTATTATTTCTCACCCCCACAAAGATTCTCATAATTAACGCCCCCGCAACTGGTGTAGGGAGTCCAAAACTCATATAAATATTATCTATTCGTTAAGTACATTTATTTTCTACGTGGATACCAAGTTTCAAGTCAATCGGATGCACGGTTCAGTAGTTATAACGGAACATCCGTAAAAACCACTGTAGATTTACATATTAGTATAGATAATAAAATAAAAATTATATATTAAAATAAAAACAGTTTTCGGGTTGGTAAAAACGTTTTTTTCCTTAATCAGATTTACCATCCAGCTATTTAATCAGACTGCGCTAAAGGTAGCCATATTTCACGTATTTACCGTCACGCGACTTCACCCTTGCATTTTTATTCCGCCTCCTTGCCCCTTTCCCGGCGTCCCAGTTCCATTGAATCGCTTAGTAAGCGTCACGTTTATAATTTTATATGCTATGCCTATTTCTGCCGCAAAGCAGTCGCGTGTACCGCTTTGAAGAGATACAACCGTTTTACAATTAAGATACAGTTACACATGCTCATATAATGTAATACTAATTAGCCACGCGAGCACCGAGCATGCTCTTCTAACTGACATTTGTTTTTGTTTAAAAGCACGCTCCTTTCAACTCAGGCTGCAGATAGCATGCCCCAAAAATCGCACGACTGGCGATTTTCGAGCAAACTCGAAATTAGTATGCTTATTATTAGCAATGTTTCGATACGCATGCTACTAAGCAGCAACTGCCCAATAGTGACATGCTATCGCGCTATTTAGTAATGAGCATGTACAACTGTACCTTTAAGGTACTTGTTACACATGCTCTAAAATAGCATCCTAAAAAGCGTGCTATTGAGTATGCTCAATACAAGTATGCTTATGAACAGTTTACATTTGCTAGCAATAGGCATGCTAATTTTAAGTATGCTATTTAATTAAATATGTATTTTATGTATGTATTTGTATTATACCTGTTGCAAACGGCTGATCGATACTAGCATGCTCAATAAGCAAACCTGTTTAGGCGCGCTTAAAGCACGCCGCCTTCCAGCCCCGCGCCGCAGGTAGCATGCTCAAAAATCGCACGCCCGTTGATTTTTAAGCAAACTCGAAATGAGCATGCTACTTTTGAGCAACATTCCGACACACATGCTACTAAGTAGCAACTGCTCAATAGAACTCATACTTTCATGCTTGAAATGAGCATGTGTAACAGTACCTTAAGATACAGTTACATGCGAGCACCGAGCATGCTCTTCAAAATGAAAAAAAATTGTTTTTGTTTAAAACCTGATCAGACGCGCTAAAAGCACGCTCCCTTCATCTCGCGCTGCAGATAGCACGCCAAAACCGACAATCAATTTTTAAAGAAACTAGAAATGAGCATGCTCATTATAAGCAATGTTTCAGCACACATGCTACTAAGCAGCAACCGCTCAATAGTGGATTTTATGCTAGTAATGAGCATGTACAACTGTACCTTTATACTAGTGTCAGGTTAAGTGACGTCATCCGCGTTGAATATAAATGCGATTCGATTACCACTTAAGCCAAGACGGACCATGAGCTCGTCCGCTCATCTAGAATACTAATCATGTCGAGTATTTTTTTCAGTTCGTGCGAGTCGTATCCGGTTATCGTTCTCGTCGAACCCGTCGCTTGCGACGAATGGCTCGGCGAGTAAACTAACCCACAGACAAAGCCCACTGAGTTTCTTGCTGGATCTGGGTCGCACGTCCAGTCCCGTGGTAGATTCTGCGAAGCACGGCTCTTGCTAGGGTTCGTGTTAGCAACAACGTCAGGTTTGAGCCCCGTGAGCTCACTTAGCCTCTCAAGGCTATCAGTTCAGGTAGTAAAAAAAAACGAGTCGTGGTCTCATCTCGCATTTTTCATTCTGAATACATTATTTCCGACATTACTTTATAAAGTCATTCCGATAGAGGCACCCGTCACGTGCGGACGTGCTCATCGTCCACTCGATCGCCCGGTCTTTGTTCGCCCGGCTTTTGTTAGCCCGGCCATTGTTCGCGCGGCCTGTGTTTGTGGTACATCTGCCGACTAAGTGCTCTTTCTGGAAGTTTTTATTTGTTTTGTTTCCTTTTGTTGTTTCTGTGTTCGTGGTACATCTGCNAAAAAAAAAAAAAAAAAAAAAAAAAAAAACTTTATAAAGTAATCCTCCTTTATAAAATAATCCTCCGACTATAGTCGGAGGATTATTTTTTGTATTGATATATTCTTGTTCAAGCCTTTGAAAGTATCTAATTAAGATTTAGATAAGCAAGCTAGATAAGCCAACAGTGAATTATGCGGATTGGCGTTTCGCTCGAGATATTTTCCTATTTCAACAATCTTAATAACTTTGTATTTAAATAATAACCAATAGAAAATGTGGCAGCGTTTTTTCCGTAAGGCCGTGTTTGTATAACGTTATTTTGGCGCAGAATATGATTATTGCAAAAAAAAAAGTTTTGAAGCAACATTGAATATTCGTTTATATTTGAAAAACCTCACAAAAAACATTAAGCAAATTAGTACCGTAACAGATTCATACATAAACTGATAGGTCGAACCGACAACCTCTGATTACGATCCCAAAAGATAAAAAAGCATGCACCAAACAAACGCATACAACAAAAATAAGTTAAGAGTAATGAAAAACTCACCACATTTTATCAATTTCAAAATAACTTTAAATATATATTTAGAAAACTTTCAACTAATTATATTTATTGCATATAATATGATTTTTAAATTTTTCTCGTGCGAGATTCGTAGCTTCGTAGCAGAGTGCTACGCAGGGCGGCTTGCTACGCGGGCTCACCGACGCGGACTGATCATAGTCGGATGAATTAAACAAAACATGCGTGATACCGTAGCTCGATTTCGCATGATAACTACTTATTATCGAATCTTTTTTTAAATTAATTTACTTAGCGAGTTTACGAGCTTAGAATTGCTTTAGACAGATATTTGTTCAATACTTGAACGCTATGATGTTAGTTTTGTTTTGAAATTGAACAATTTATTGAGCTTTACTACTTTTATTAGGGAAAAAAAATATCTTAGATTTTATGGTATGATTTGATGAAGAATAAAAATGTTTTTTTGGGATCCAAAGAAAACTACATCAAAATAAGTAAATCAGCATAAATGTCACATTTGCCTTAAGGGTCGATTGGGCGTGTGTGCCGTCTTGTTTAAAATAACTAGAGCTTAGTTGCAATTGTTGCAAAAGCTTACGTAGGTCGAAATGGATTTTTTGAAGACTGCAGTTTTACAATTAAATAAAATAAAATGAAAAATCGTGCGGCTTACGGAAAAAGAAAAAAAATACGAAGCGTTATTTGCACACAGATATTTCAAAACAGAAAGAATACAAAATCAATCTATAGTATGACAAAATTTTTGAGAAATAAATTAGTAATTAGGTTACCGAATTTAAAGCTCACCAGGTGTTTAGTGGTTATCGAACCTTGTAGATATCATATGCCGCCGCCACCTACCCAGAAGTTTTAGATTTGCAACCATGTGGAGAAAAAAAATCACTTAAAAATCGTCCTATTGGTGGTAGAACCTCTTGTGAGTCCGCACGGGTAGGTACCACCACCCCGCCTATTTTTGTCGTGAAGCAGTAATGCGTTTCGGTTTGAAGGGTGGGGTAGCCGTTGTAACTATATTGAGACCTTAGAACTTATATGTCAAGGTGGGTGGCGCATTTACGTTGTAGGCCTCTATGGGCTCCAGTGACCACTTAAAACCAGGTGAGCTGAGAGCTACCCATCTAAGCAATAAAAAAAATATCAAACCCTCACCTCGAATGCCGTCTTGAAATTACAATACAAATGTCCGCGAATTACTAGACTACTACGTGTTTCGAGTCCATTGCGGGTTAAAGTCTTAAGCTGTTTTAAATTATGAGTACACAATTCTTTGTTTAACAAGTGCAGGACACGTTTCATAGTGTGTTTCTAATAATTAACAATTTCATACAACAAAGTTAATGCTTTTGAGCACTGGTCACAATTTTTATTGTTTATCTTTATTCTTTATTGTACACACAGTTAATATTACAATAATTGCGTAAGATATAAAAAAATGGCGAGCTTAACTCAACAATTGAGTTTTCTACCAGCTAACCGTTCTTAACGAAAGAAAACTTTAAATGAGTGGGTAGAAGAATACAATCTAAACAATTTACAATCTAGACAAGAACTTAATAAAAATAAAAATAAAACACTAATACATAATATATTAGACTACATATATATACATACACACATAGATAACGTAAACATATATATACACGTACATATATAATGAAATACATAAAATAAATATATATAAGTAATACTACTACTGTTTCTTACTCATATTAATACCTTTTTTCATGAGTGTTTAGTTTAGTTTTTTTTTTAGGATTGAATGATTCCTGATAGCCCGGAGGCCTTTCCAGTTTTACCAGGACAGTTGGGCGAGCAAAGGCTCAGCCATGAGGGGTGGGATTTGCTAACAGCTGCCCGAGCGCCTCCGAAGGATACCTAACAACTCAAGAGCTGCTTCGCGAATGAATCTACTACCGGATCGGAATCGCGACCCGCTGAGAAGATAAGAGTGTATAGTATTTTGTTGGACAAAGTATTGGCTTGAATTGTGATTGATATTATATAAATTTATACGCACCATAAGTAAATAAAAAAAAAGTGTGCGACTTGGGACGCCCGACAGGAGTGAAAGCTTAAGCTAATCTAAGTTGAAATATTTAATATTGAAATTATTTAAGTTTAGGTTATTACTTAAATTTTATCTATATAAATATGGTAATGTAAGAAAAATTGTAACATAAATTGAAAAAGATATATAAATAGTCAGGAGTTAGATATGTTCCCAGTACCGCTGCCGTACGTGAGATAGAAAGGGACGCAAGATTGACTAGCGCCGTAACGCGTTACGTAACGAAATGGTTTAAGCTCCCACAAGAAGTTATCACTTCAAATGTTACCAAAAAAAAACGGAATCGACTTTATCAAAATAAAATGAGAATACCATCGATTTAGTCAATTAATTATCCATTATTACTTGATAAATTCCCCTCCACGGTGTTTCCCCGAGCGCTATGACATGTGCTCCTTCAAACGAGGCTTGCAGAGACTCCTCAGCAGGAGGAAGCGACTTGGCTCTGCCGACGGTAACCACTCACCATCAGGTGGGCCGTATGCTCGTCTGCCTACAAGGGCAATAAAAAAAACGACTGGGACTACTTACCATCGGGTGTGCTGTTCGTTCGTCTACCAAAAAAGGCAATAAATATTTAAGTTAACTATACTGAGTTAAGTTGTAACTATATTGAGATCTTAGAACTTATATCTCAAGGTAAGTGGCGCATTTACGCTGTAGATGTCTATGGGCTCCAGTAACCACTTAACACCAGGTGGGCTGTGACCTCATCCACCCATCTAAGCATTAAAAAAAAACCAAAAAGTTAAAGCAAAGGTTTGCGTTTGTCTCGACCAAACATATTCCTTGTCATTTAGTCGGATACTATAATCCATACTATAATCACGCTCTTGAAGAAAATAATCCAAATAAAGACAACGCGAAATAACCAGATGTTCAACATCACCGTGGTGTCCCCGCAAACTGGGTCAAAACTACAAGTTTTTAAATAAATTAACAGGCACGTGCACGGATACACGTGTTCAAAAATACACGTGCTGACGTGATATTAATTAACCGCTACAATTTTAGTCCGGCTCTTTTAATATTTCAAAGCGCCTGCTCCTTTGAGAATCGCATACATTTTGTTACTTATGTAGTATGTACATATTTGAGCACAGTTAAGTGTTATAGGAACGCGGTAGATACGTCTCTACAAAGTCCCGCGTTATGCAAAACCGTGTTATATGAGCTGAGAAAAGTATTTTTTTCCGAATGAAGCATCTCAACTATGCCTCTAGGTATTTTTTTAACTATTGTACATATAAAATAAGCATTAAAACTTTGGTTATTCCCATATATTGCGTGTTCATAGTGCCTAATGTAATTTTCTAAATAATTTTAAACAAAATCTCGTTATCGTGTTATACAAGTACCGTGTTAATAAGAGGGCTTAGGGGTGGTATTTCGTGTTTGAGATGCACCCTTTTGTAAAATACAGTGTTTTAATAGAGTTACCTGTATTGTATATACATATTTAATCATTGAATATTGATTAACTTTTTTGATTTGTCGATCATCAAGCAATAATTTACTACAAGTTCCAAATAGGTTTTCGCTAATCTATCTATACCTAAAATGAATTGCTGTTTTTTAATCTCGCTAAAACTCGAGAACGGCTGGACCGATTTGGCTAATTTTGGTCTTGAATTATTTGTGGAAGTCCAGAGAAGGTGAAAAAATATGAAAATGCTGAGAATTATGTAAAAACAGACAATTTTGTTTTTCCTTTAATGTGTTCCCCGTCGGACGGATTCCTTTTATTTGTTTTAAGTTTATTTTATACAAAACCTTAGGTTTTTTATTTATCGATTGATGCACTACGAAGTCTGCCGGGTCAGCTAGTATTCAATTAAACATAAAAACTATACAACTTTAATAAAATTAATACTAGTATGAAATGCAAGTAGGAAATTACTTTGAGAATTACATGAAAATAGACAGAAACAATCGTTCTCTCTTAGAGTTTTTCAAGTCACCAGTTCTGTATCGGAGGATGGAGCAGGCTTCAAAATTTAACAGAGAAAAGAGCAATAACGTTCTCCAAGTTTAGCTCTCTTTGAAGTCTGCATTGATTACTTGTAGGGAGCTTAGTGAGTCTACATAGGTAGGTCACCACCATCCAGCCTACTTCAACAGTAAATAAATCTTGTGTTCCAGTGGAGAGAGTCATTATAGCACTTGGAGTCTATGGGATTCAGTAATGTCAGTTTTCCGTGAGGTAGTGCTGTCATTCAAAGCAAAGAAGAGTAATTGTATTGTAACTAGTCAGGTCATAAGTATTGTCACACAGTAAAAACTTTTCTTTTAGAATGCTGGCCACAAAAAAGTTTATTGAATTCGAATTTCGAATTGTTCATGAAAATAAAAATGTATACTTTTAGAATTTTACTCATTTTTAAATATGGAGTGGACGCTTAAAGAAGACCGTGTTGCGGTTATTGCGTTGCATCGTTGCGGTTACGCGCCAGTTCAAATTTTTAACATACTGAAAATTTTGAATATAACCAAAGATTCGTTTATCGTACCATCAAACGATACAATGAAGACTCTAGTGTAGATGACAGGTCAAGAAGTGGTCGCCCTCGGTCTGTTAGGACTCCAGCAGTGATAAAAGCTGTGAAGGCGCGAATTCAAAGAAATCCCAAACGTAAGCAGAAACTGTTGGCCCTTCAGATGGGGTTAAGCAGAAACACGGTGAAAAGGGTGTTAAATGAAGACTTAGGGCTTCGGGCATATCGAAGAAAAACAGGACATCGTTTGAATGCTCGTCTAATGGACCTGAGACTGAAGAGATGCCGCGCTTTGTTGAAGCGGTACGCGGGAAAAAAATATCGGGAAATTCTTTTTTCGGATGAAAAAATTTTTACCGTAGAAGAGAGCTACAACAAACAAAATGATAAGGTGTACGCACACAGTAGTGAAGAAGCGAGCAACCGTATTCCGCGTGTCCAACGAGGTCATTTTCCATCCTCGCTCATGGTATGGTTGGGAGTTTCTTATTGGGGCTTAACAGAGGTACATTTTTGTGAGAAAGGTGTAAAAACGAATGCACTTGTGTATCAAAATACAGTCCTGACGAACCTTGTGGAACCTGTTTCTCA